TTATAAACGACAACGACAAAGTGGAAAATCCACTTTTGATGTCGCAACTTTCGGGTTTAATCTTCGAAATTTTGCGAATTTAACAAAGTTAACAACTAATTAGAAACTCACGACACTATTTTAAAAATAATAACACTTTGCGGCGCGGAAATGAGCTGCAAAATTAATTTATATTCAAAGCATGCTACTAAAAGTTATGCAACCCAATTTACAACTCAACCGCAGCATGTAGGCAATTCACCGTAACAGGTGTTAGTTATAACTTGCAAACTTTTATGCGAACAAGTGAACAATTATTTAAATAAATAACTAAAGTGATAAAACCCATTAGACATGTTCGTGCATGGCTTGGGCAATCCGTTAAATAGAAATGCACGCGCGACACATTACTTGCGGTCGTTATCGGCTAATTCCAATTAGAAAACTTGCCGCACACGCCGCGAAAATGTCACTTCAAAACCCACATGATCCTAAATACGTTCATTACTCTTTACACATGCAGAAAACTCAGCGCACGCATTAAATCAATCAAGTTAGAAGCTCTAGCTGTAATGTTGGTTGCCTACACTGTGACCATTCAGAAAATTCAGGTTAAATGATTGTATGGGGCAATATCAACTATGTAACTATAAGTAAATGACTTAAAGTGAAGTTAACTAAGAAGTATGCCACAAACGTGTTTATTCATATTGTTGAAACGCTTGATGCTTTTCAACGGCGCGTGGGCATCTGGTAAGCCCGCAGAATGAAACGTGAATGGACACATAATGATGTTACGTGTACGCGCGTGTAAAATTTTGTTTTATCTCGAATTGGAAGTTTAACTTCTTGTTTTGCGCGCGCAGAGGCGGCGAAACGGTGAATATTACGAGTGAGTTAATAAAATAATGAAAGGAACTTAATAGATTCGTGTTTACAGTAACGCCATCTGTGAATCATTTATCAAATTTTTTCTTGTACATGTTTAGCAAATAAATAATTTAATTTAATTCGAATCTAAATCAACTGAATTAAATTAATTTACCACTTGACGCATTCGCGTGCCGTGTTTTCGCCCGCATGCAAACAATAGATCTCTCTTCTTGTACAATTTATTTCGCTCAGAAAATAGAAAATTCCCCGTCCAGGTGGCTGAGGTAAATAAATGTGTTGGTATAAGCTGGTTAGCTGGCAATTTCATCGAGAAAACTGCGCGCTTAAAGAGTATTCGTTAAAGGGTGGTTAGCGTGTTAGCGTGCAGGCAACAAACTAACTTGCTACAGCGCAGCGGTTGGAATTGTGTCTGTTGGTGGAATTCCCGAATATTCACTGTGACCGAATGATATGGCATAAGAACAGTGAGGAGATGAGTTTTCCTGAGAGGCGGATGTGGTTTACAGTTTACAACCCTTGGCGAGAATACATCAACCTACTTTGTAATATGTAATACTCGTATAATAAGAAAACAAATAAAATGGCAGCAAAAAAGAGAAGAAAATTGTGAAGATGTTAAATTTTTAAAAGTTCATTGCTTTTTTTTATAAATAACTTGATAAATTAAAATCAAATTAAAAATTGTAGCAGTTTACGTCAATAAAACCAATTTCTATGTTCGGTTTTTGTACCGCATCTCAAAGAACCACTCAATGGTTTATTTCATTTCATAATGTTAGATTAATAATCATTAAAAACATCATATTTTATCGAATGTCATTTTTCACTGCAATTTTCTACTTTGAAACAACACAATTAAAATATAACAATACCAATTAATTGGATAAAATAAATTCCACTAGAATAATAAATTGGACAGGTGCTCAATTTCTGTTCAGCGATAACAATGTGATCGTTCAATTTTAAATAAATACGAGTTTTCAAATGTATTAACATAAAACTGAGATTAATGCAAGTAGCGCCATCTTTACACGCCCAAACCTATCAATATTTTAAACATATTAGAAATTTAAACGTACTGCTAACAAAAAACAAATCAAGATATCACTGTAATATTTGTAATTGTAATATTTATGATTGAGTTATGATTTATTACTATTTCTACCATTTGCACCTATAACATTTCCTTGTTGCATTGGTTAAGATGTGCGATTGCAAATTCAAACCGATTAATGCACTTATAGCACAGTATGAACGCAGCAATATATTCAAAACAGTCGCCAACTGTTTATGAAGAGATAAAGATGATTAAGGTGTCACTAAAACTCGCCAACTCGCCAACAGTGCCGTAAAGCAAACTGCTGCTGCAACTACGAGTACACCGCTGTGGCTAAAACTAACAGCAGTAGTACTCGTACCTATCTACAAGCGTATTAGTGATAGAGCTATTAATGGCTGTGTGCAGCGTATGTGCATCGCAATAAAGTTCACATTCGGAAGCGTACGCCCAGATGATTTATCCTTATCGATTATTCAGTTTCAATTTACACATCATACTCCTGGTCATATTCGTATCTTAATCCCATTTGAGTATTTAGGTACGAGTAAAACTAGTGAAACATGACTATTGAGGCAAGTTTTTACGCCATCTATGTCGGAATTATCCTTACTAATATTATAAATGCGCATGTCCTGAAGTTTATCGTGCTTTCACGCAAAAACTACTTAACAGATCATCATGATAATTTGTACACATATTCTTAGTGGTCCCTGAATGGTTATAGGCTACTTTTTATTTAATAAAACAAAATATTTTTTAAATAAAATAAAGAAATAGTTTAGCCAATAATACCTCTGCATCTGGCTATTTGACTACTTTAACGCCATCTAGCATTCCAGCAATGAAGCTCAAACCTAAGTACTATAGTACCATCACACTGTATTATCACACTGTATTACCGACAGCTACGTCAACATCAAATCCAAATGACTACACTATGGAGACTGTACACTATACTTCCATAGACTATACTTTCAGCCATTTTAAACTTCCCGCCATTCTACTTCATTGTTACTTCTTCTGTGACTACAGACGCGTACGGAAGCAACTTCATTAGTTTAGATATTCGCGAGCGAAGCCGCGGGTTAAAGCTAGTATAACTATAATTACTATTGAATCTCAATATAAATTTTCATCCCTTATTTAACACCCTTAAAATTAAAATTTCCAATATTTTAATATTTATTCTTCTATTCAGGGCAAAGGCATACCCAAAAAATCAACGATCATCAAAATCTGTCCAGCTGTTCTTGAGTTATAAATGCTGTAACTAACGCAACTCGCTTTTATATATAAATTTACTCAATTATTGATGTTTGCTTTCGATAATTTATTTTTATAAATTTGCTGCATCCGTTTATCACAATGTAATGTATAAAATGTAAAAAAGACTACTCTGTAATATGCTTGTGCACACACGCGTCTCGGTAGATTGCGATTTTTAATTTATTTCTTATTTATGGTTAAAAATTTAAATTACAAAGCGATCGTCCGAAGATAAACGGTCGTTTCGGGCGGGCCGCGCTGGGATGAAGTCGGCGTCGTGAATTTATGTTTTTTGCGGCATAAATTTCGGGGCCGCACAAAATGTCTGCATAAGCGGATATCGGATGAATGGGTATTATTTTGGACTTTTCTATATGCGGATATGCCATCAGGCAGCAAGCAACAAGCCATTCATGTGGCCACAACGGTCAAAAAGTGTCAGCCGTATAATTGATTTCGTAACGAGTTTATTTAAACTAAAAATTTAAATTTATTTAATTTTTTTCAAAATCTGCCACAAATAAAAACTAAAATTTTATAAAAACAATTAAAATTTTAAATAAAAAAATAAAATCTTAAAATTGCCGAAAATACACGGAAATTCTATTATTGGCAATAAAATCACTCTCAAATATTTACTCTATGATGAGATTCCGAATTGTGTAGAGGAATTCTAAGAAATCCAGTATATTACTACCTGCTCGATGTGAATTGTGAGTTTTTTCCGCCTTCCTTACCTCTTTTCTCCGGTGTGACACACCGTCGAGCAATCAATCTCGTAAAAAATGCACGCCTGACGCAAATGAAACCGAATGCGATACAACACGTTACAACCACGTACGAACACGACGAATGGTTTTTCCCTCTGCCAACCTTTCTCTGCTACCTTTTCTGACATTGTACAAACCGTAAAACCCGTCAAATACCTCCCGTACGACCTATACAATAAAAACCAACCTAAGCCTAACCTAAAAATAAAATTTAACCTCAATATAATGTTTGATTCAAGTTGTAACACTCAAACATTTTCATTCAATGAATCATTCAAATCGGCGAACATGAATGAATGAATTTACGAGTATGTGCTTGTAAACTGCGCAAACTCTAAGTGCACTCGCTTGTTCTCTGTTGTTATAAATAAATTAATCGTGTGGGAAGTGTATTTAGTGATTCAGCGCAAGTATAACCTTAAAAAATTAGAAAAAGTGTCAATTGTCAAAATTCTAACCTAAAAATCACAAAATGACATTTTGACACTAAATATTTTCTATATTGTAATTTTGTAATTTGTAGGGATTAAATAACCCTTTTGAGATGGTTCTTTGCCACAGATCAAAATTCACCGGACATGCATCCGGAAGCCCTACGAATGCACCGCGCCAGCGCGCTCCAGTTGCGCACAAATTCAAAAATAACCACCACGTGCCGATGCACGCACTGCGCACTCCCAATAGCGTTTATTACATTATTCAGCGCAAGCGACAGAAATTACGGTTATTAACACACATGCACCTCGAATGTTTCTGGCGCTGTCGGTGTATGTATACGAACAGGTATCGTACTCGCGGCTCGTGTGTCGCCCACGCGAAAAATTTCAATATTGGGCTGTAAAGGCTGTAAACTTGCACAATATAAACTTTCCAAAGCGTCCGCGGCCGCAGGACTACTCGTACTCCAAAACGAGATGTTAATATTTGTCATGCGGTGAATTCTAATTTAAATAAACTTCATTAACCATCCACACACAATCAAGGCAACCATTTTTAATTAACTACTTGTATATTAAGTACATTTTAACTACCTTTTAGTGTTGTTGGTGGTGTGATGTTCCTTGGGTGATCATACTCCACATGTCGCGATGCATTCCTCGAACTCGCAACATCTTCAATATGTTGTTCAAGATGATTCACTGTCACATTTTTAATGTTTTTACAATAACAACACAGATTTTATTGTTTTGTTCTAGAGTTATTCACTTGTTTCAGTTGATTTGCGAGCGTGTTTTCGACGTGTTGTGACTTGTTTATCTGCGTTTTGTTTAACGCCGGCGTGCGGCGTCTATTCTTATCGCAATGCGGGTCTTTCACGCGACAGGTCTGCACTCAACGGATCACGGCATGCGACTGATTGCAGCCGGAGAAGGATTGTGCGCTCGGAGCGCTCTGCGCGCACATGTACCACGCACACACGGGCAACACAGCTGCTTGCAGGTATAAATGTAAGGTGAAATGAGAATAAATAAGAATTTCGTCTGCCGTGTGTGTTGTGCGTTGGACGTTGGACACACACAGGCGAAATTCGCGTGGGCGCACTTTAAATAACCCACAATAATTCCTTCACTGCGCGCGCACACAATAACAAGGCTTTAATTTATTAATTTACGGCCGTGTTATAAGCAATTCCTGATTTGTGATTTGTGTACGATTCGGAGACTTGGACAAATATTTATTCAAGCTGTTGTACATCATTAAATCACTCTGTATAATAAGATATTTCTTATTTAGTTGGAAGTGATATATGCTGATTTTTTGTTGTTGTTTTGCTTGTTGGAATTTTTAATGCACTAATGAAGAAAACAATAGACGCAACCACCTACGAATGGTTCTCTGGGCTGGAACTAATTGGTACTCATACTTATTTCATAAATAATTGTATCATGTGTTGACCACAGTGATTATTCTCGATTGTTTGCTTCGGCAAATGGAAATTTTCATTTTCAATTGTGAATTTCAATTCGGTATTGTGAATTTAATTGGGAAAATCATTGCGCGTTGTGAGGCAATGTTGTGATGCTGTGTTTACGTTTCATTTGTTATTATTGCGCATTCAAAACAACCGAAGCGCAATAGAAAGAGCAATAATATAGAGGTATATTTATAACCTTAAAATTAATTTGGTTTTGTTTTAAAATTAATGTGTGCAAGAATGAAATGATTTTTCTGTCAAAATTGCTGTCATCTGTCAAAATATGACGTATACAAGATGGAGGATATTTCATTTCATCTTAAAAATTATAAAACCCTATTAATATCTTCTATCTATATATATAAAAATAAATTGCTGTTCGTTAGTCTCGCTAAAACTCGAGAACGGCTGAACGGATTTATCTTATCTTGGTCTTGAATTATTCGTGGAGGTCTAGGGAAGGTTTAAAAGGTGAGAAAAATTCGAATAATTGCCGGAAAAATCCTCAAAACAGCTCTTTTCTATAGAATAAAATTTGACATTGAGATTCAATCATAGTTATAGTTAAATAGTTGAATTCGAGATGGCGCGCTGAAGTGCATTATTGACAAAACTTTATATGCATAATTTCTTTAAATTAAAATTGCTAATCTTATTGATAGAATTGACTCTTACTACGAGTATGTCTAGAACAAGAGAGTAAAAACGAATTACATTTGTATTAAACACTGCCGGAACGAAGTCGCGGGCAACAGCTAGTTGACAATATTTTTATCTATAACTCAAAAAACATGAATTTATACTTTGTTAGTTCAATAAAAACTAGTTATTAGTTGTAATCAAAACCGAAACCTTTCAAAATTAGATTAACTTTGATACCTTACTAAACCTTTAGTCTAAGCTTTTTCCTTCCTGTGTTTTCATCCAGCTTCCTGCTAAACGCTTGCCATCCCAGTTTACCGTCCAACTAAACGCTTTCATAAGTTATAATCCCTTTTCTGACAAAGCGTATCCCTCCATTTTGACCTCACGTTCCATCGTCCTTTCATATACCCTCGTTTATTTTCTTTTCACAAACTACATCCTCCCGCTTTCGGTTGGGAAGTGTTTTTCAAGGTATCAAAGGTAAAAGATAACACAAATGAGCAGTGATCAACGGATGATGCCATCTGGTTAAACTTCAACGAAAGTTTAAAAGTTGAAAAAGTTCTCAAAATTACAATTTAGGGGTATAGATACGATAGGAGGATAGAAAGGTGAAAAGCGAGTTCGCCACAAGCTCGTAGAAAACACAAGGATTGTGTGTTTCGGTTGGGCTTGCTTGAAATGCTCGAGTTGGAGAAGATTGTAATCAACTAATTAAGTTGTCAGAGTTCCAAGAGATTCTCTACACATTCTACACAGAGAATTTCTAAAGCAAAAGATCCGAAAGTATAAGGAAAAGTTTTCAAGTCACAAAAAACAAATTATTACAGAAGAAAATTGGATTAATGATTAATGTTAATTTATATCAATAATTTTAATAACCATTATCTTATTGTGGTTATAAATGTCTTATAAAACACTTGCCAGTGTTTGGAAGTTACCAGGACGACCTGTGACCAATCTTGACTTGTATTTCCAAATATCCTATGAATAAAACAAATATTACATTAAATATCAAGTGCGCTAAACGGCACTTTAACAACGCTTAGCGACGTTTTCTACTTCCACTTAATTTTCGCGATTAGTTTTGTATTTGAATTATTTTATTTTACTCCCCACCTTTACTACAGCCCGTGACTAAAGTACTTTAGTCACGGATTTAGCCGTCCATGATTAAATTACCACTTTTCGGGTCACGAAACCGAGAAAAACGTGGTGCTTTAAAAGTGAAAGTAGAAAAATAATATTATATCTTCTAAATTCAATAATAAAGCAATAATAAAACAATGAGTCTTCCTTCAGCATGTTCACATTCCAAGTATTCTCCTCTTTTTATCTGCTTTTATCTGACCTTATGAAATTGCTGATTGTTTTCGCCCCACCGCACACTTCCCCAAACTTCACACTCACACACAGGATAAATAGGCTCGGGAAAGGTTGTGCGTGCAGAAAAAGGAAAATGTATTACCGAATATTTCGCAATGATGCCCTTCTTGGCGTAAATCTCCTCGACTTCGCGTTCGATTGCCTCCTGCAGCGAGCCGCGCACGTCAATAAAGAAGCAATTGCTGTCAATAAAGTGGGCCGAAATTGCCTTCCGAAAGCCCTGTGCGATCCACCGCAAACGACGCCAGCCGGCAACAAAACAACACACATGAAATAAAAACAGCATAAAACAAATGTAGCGCGCTTCATATTGTTTCGTCTTCGACGGGGTTTACCCGCAGACCTGCGCCGGCATAATGCCGCAACAAAAACAAAGCAAATATTACGGCTTTTACGCACATGGACACAACTGCGAATTGAGAATAAATTGAAAATACAAACAGGCTTACCTGCGTCATATTAGGGCCGGAACCGTGCAGAAGGAGCGGATGGAAGAAGACGGTGTCACCTGCTTCCATGTCCAGGTAGAGTTTCGAACGTTCTTGAACATTCTCAATGCCTTGGTATGACTTGTTCTTTGTTTTCTATTGTAACAAAACAAAAACGTTGATACGAACGCATTTAAGAGATTAGAAAACTTACACTCAGATACACATGTGGCAGCAATTGATTACGGTGTGAACCGGGAACGACAAACAAGCAGCCATTTTGTTTTGTGCATTTTTCCATTGCTGTCCATGAAGCACAAACGGAATCCGCTGGTCTAAACGGGAAATAAAACAAATCCTACAAGAAATTGATTTGAATCAACTGAAAATTATGAAAATTTTTAATTTTTAATTTAATTTTACTTGATGAGTTGGATGAATTGCAAAAACATCCGTGGAATTTGGTGGTTTGTTGATTATCATTGTATTAATTGTTGTTACATTAGGTCCAACAATGCTGGTCACTACATTGACAAGATCTTTGTTTCTCGCGTATTTCTCAAACAAAAAGTCGTCAAATGTAAAGTCTTGAATCTGAAATTTTAAAGTTTTATTATAATAAATTGATTATTTGTTTGTTTACCTTAAATATTTGATATTCTTCTTCGGATTTATCAGTTTTCTGAATGCCCTTGTCTTTCATGATAGTTAACCCGTAGACTTTAACATGTCCACGGCATATTTCTAAAAATCTTTGCGTGAATTCCTGCAGGTCTTTTTCGGGTATAAGATTTCGGAAGACAATGTATCCATTAGTTTCGTAGAAATCTCGCTGTTCGTCAGTAAAATGCCCGCCATTCACGGTGAAACGATAATTCCTGAAATAAAAGTACGTTAGTATAAATATTTCACTATTTATTTTTATATTAAGCGTACTGAGACATTTTTAAAGTTAAATTCTGATTGATAAAATTGAAAGACAGCAACTGTACAGTTGTATGAATGCGTTTATACTGTGTTTGTTGCCTGGCCAGGCAGTATTTATATGTGTTATGATTAGTTTTATGATTTATTTTATTATGTGTAAGGAGAACAAACTCCACGTCTCCGCACTCTTTGCACTATCTAGCAAGAAGTGTTATTTGGCTTGATCAAACGCTCACCCATTTCGATAAACACGCGACAGTTCAACTTGTGTTGATTACAACTTGCATGTTTTTATCTCTGATGGAATATGGTCTGTTTACATCTTCGTATTCTTACTGAATATTGCTAATATAGAATGTCGTAGATACATTAGTAAAGTTTAATTTTATATTAGATAAAAAATAATAATGTAATTGATCATAAAATGCTGTTTAGAATATAGTCAGTATATAAAAAGAGATAATATGATCTTTGAACCTACTCGGCTAATAAATTTATAAACAATTGAAAACCCTATTTTAGATAATGCTGGATGTTGAAAAATAAATTCTGGATAATGTAATAATCAAAATATATGAAAAAACAAAATAATAAATTGCAATTGTGACATGCAGCGCTATCTACCGGATCAAATTGCCAACTATGCATTAATAAATGGTGTATGTATTGCCATCTAACGTCGCGAAAATAATTTATTATGGCAGATATTTAAAATGAAGAAATTAATTTCAAAACAATTCACACACAGTGATAAAATCCAACATGCGACGTGTGGGGAATCTAAAGAATTTAAGGAATTGCATATTTAAAATATTCTTAAACGAAACTTTTAGATAGTCTGAAAGTTTTGAATGATAATAAATCATCCCACTGATTAGATTCTAATTTTGCATAGAAAAAATACCATTCATAGCTATTTTTAAGTACCGAATGAATAAATAATGCCAAAATTGCTATCTACCTACGTCGTTTTACTTAATAATGCAAATAGACCAATACATTACTTATTTTGGTTGTTGTAATTCTAATGAATTAACGCTGTGCTTTATTATATCACAATTTCGATTACAATTAGTTCCTTTTAATAGTTAATAGCATATGAAGCCTATTCATTAGAGTTAAATATTATAAAAATTAAATATATTAAAATTCTTCTTAAACATAATAACAAATTAAACTAAGACAGCTTGCTGTAACTCGGCGGCGAGAACTTCTTTCGTAAGATCTTCAAAATGTACAGAGGCAAACAAGATATCAGCGTTATCACTAGCACTTTCCAGAAGAAATCTCGTGTTTGGATAAATTCAGAGTCTGTAATAAAATAAACACCATATTACATCCAAACATCATAACGTTACAAAGTACTAGTTTAATAACATACCGAAATAATCGTGGAAAAGGAAAAGTGAGATGGCATAGACGCCCAACGAAAACAATTCGGCCAACACCATGAGATAATGCCATGTGCGGATATTTAAGGCAACCATGATCAATTCGGTCAGAATCAACGAACTGAAACTGATCGCGACGATATGGATGAATTCATCTTCGAAGAGCAATAATGCACCGTACATTATCACGCCACCTAAATTCAAAAAATATAAATACCTAACAAACAACATTTTTATAATTATTTTGGTACATACCCTGATAGATTGATATCAAAACCCACATAAAGAACGTCTTATAAGATAAACTCCTCCCTTTAGACAATTCTTTATATAGTTCCGGAAATGTTAACGCAATTTCTGCACTGACATCCTGATCCAATACCAAACTAAACACCGGGAACATCGTGTAGATAGTGGCGTAGCCAACCATAAGCAAACCCTGATAAAGCGCGACCGAAGACAGATAAAACACCGAACTGAAAACAGCTTGCATTGTGGAAATAATGAGACCACGATGCACCACAAATTGCGAAAGAGACGCCGATCGTTTGTAAGATCGTCTACCGTGTACCAACAGTAGTCGCGCCAAGTGCGAAAATTGTGGGATGCTGAAATCTCCAGCAAGTGAAGCTTGTTTTCCTTCACGTCCTTCAATGCCTATGCCAGCATCGGCTTGTTGAATCATGCTCACGTCGTTACCACCATCACCAATGGCGGCAGTTCGCTTACCTGTGTGTTTCTGAATTAATTGCACCTAATAAATAGATTAATAGCAAAATTAATGTCTCTTTCTGTTTAAAAAGCTGTAGACTACATACAACTGTAGCTTTTGTGTTGGCGAACACCTGCAGCACACAACCGCAGGCGCAGAACAAGCCAGATCCATAAACTCCTGTTGATAGTATTGCAAACACACTTCCAGACTCTCTCCGGTGATAACCAAGGCGCAATCACTGCGACGTCGGAAAGAGTTAAGCTCTAAATGTGCGTCTGTACGCGTCACAACTTTTTTGAACACATACAAACCTAAAAAAACATAAAAATAAATAAAAATATTCATTATTTTTAAAATAACTTACTTTGTGTTCTTGAAACCAGTTGAGAACTCTTTGCAATGCAACAAGCTGTCTCCAACTTGTCCCCAGTCAACATCCAAATCTTAATCCCAGCATTCCGCAATAATTCGAGTGTAGGTCTCACATTCTCCTGCAATTTATCCTCCACACCAGTCACACACAACAACTCCATCTCGCGTTCCAACGATTCGATAACTTGCGCAACTCTGGATACCCTATCAGTGATAGCCATCCGTGCCGCGTTGTATCTAGTCTCAAAATCAAGATACTGTTCCTCAGTGAGTATCTTTTTAGCCACCACCAAAGTTCTCAAACCTTCCCGTGCCATATTCCCAACTTCCTCATCTAACCAATCAGTGTATTGCACTATAGCAGACATGACCACATCAGCCCCTTTCAGATAGAAACAAATCTCTCCAGTTTGAAGATCTTTAACGATGATGCCCATACGTTTGGTTTCGCTTGTGAATGGAAACACTTGCAAAATCGTGTAATTTAACAATCTACCATTGGGAGCTTTCAATCTCATTGAGTTAAGATCACGTGTATGAAGTGTTAATCCAACTTCCTGCGTCCATTGCACTAGCGCAACCTCATCGGGGCTTGAAGCCTGATAATTCACGCAGTTTTCATTCACAATGTGTTGATCAGCTTCCACTTCGGAAGTAATCGAACTGGTTTCACTATCACCAGTTGTTTCATAGACAGGAGTTACATTGTGACACAGTGCAAGCGCTTGCACAGCATCTTTAATCCGCGTATTTTCAAGGCGTCGGAACTTACCATTTGTAGAGTTCGACATTGTTTCCGGATTACTATAGGCTCCTTTGAGCACAGAAGCTACATCAATGAATGTCTCAGCTGTGTAGCTAACCGTCCCCAAGTGTAATCTTTTTAGTACCATGGAATTCTGTGTGAGAGTACCTGTCTTATCACTCAAAAGATACGAAATTCGGCCGAGTTCTTCCGGAATGGTCGTGCAACGCACAGCGGTGCCTTTCAGCAACGGGTCTCTACCGATCGACCACGAATAGAAGGATTTACCCATGTCAAGATTTACTCGCAAACTGTAAACGTGTTTCGCGCGTGTTAGTCATGTTTGTATTCAGTGTAATAATTGCACCTACCTGATCGGGATGATGTATGAGAAAAGTAAAATAAAACGAAACGTGTATCGGTACCACGGGCCGCTGAATCCCTTCAGCGCCATCATAAGCAAAGCCAAACCAACTACAGCGGCAAACAGCAGCTTGGTCAGTGTGTTCAACTCCATGTCCAAAAGACCTACTTTCGATCGGGGTGCTGAGTTATTCATTACGGAACGGGTTTCTGGACCTAATCAACGGGAGAAACAACACACGCACACATTATCAATCAAATCAAAAAATTTTCACAAAAACCAATAAATACCTGTGTAAATGACAACGCCGAGAGCTTGTCCGGATGCGATAACACAATTAGTCCATAGCGTGTTTTCCAAATCAAGTCCTTCACTTGAATTTGGTGAATCATCCTAAGCAATATATTTATTAATAAATAGTTTTAAGTGAAAAACTTAATACTTACTCTTGTGAAAGTACCAATGAATGAATGAATATCTTTTTGGGGTTTTTCAACGTAAATACTTGCTTTGACCTCAAGCAGTTGCTTATCTGATTGTAATTTCTGTGTGTATGGTACAGCGAGTCGCAATTTCCAATCAGTCTCACCATCGAGTTGATCAGTGCGCACAAACACCGAACCAGACTTTTCGGATGTTCTCAGAAGCACCAAATCAGCTGGAATACGTTCGTCTTTGTCCACAATGATTAAATCGCCGACTCTTAACTTGGAAGCAGCCACAGTCTCATAAAGTTTATCTGGATTGTTCGTAAGTCTCGTGCAGCGTTGACTATTAACCTCCTGGTCTCTTCTGTGACGCCGCAGGTCATCAACGGCTTCTCTGCAGATTGTTACAAATAATACAAAGCACTGAAAATAAACATATGTTATGTAAATTTATTTGTTTTTATTGGTGTGTGTGTGTGGTGTTTTCATTTACCAGTGGTCCCCAATATGTGTAGAGATAACCAATGCGAATGTCAGGTACAAACTGGCTGAGCGCCATGATGAGAAAGTAGAGATTGAGGAAAAACTTGAACTGCTGATAGAGCACGAGCGGGAGGAAGGTGATAATGTTGTACTTCTGATTGCGGATGGCGTTCGCCGGATACTTGCCCTGCGTGGGCCGCCCGATGAGGACGGTGCGGTCCGTCAGCTCGCGGGGCCCGCAGCATCGCTTCCACATGGAGCACCAGCAGCTGGAACAGAAACAGGCGGGCTTAGGCGCGCTCATACTCGCGGTGGTCGCCTTCGCGTCGCCCATCGTCCGAAAATTACAGTGGCGCAGCTAGCGAGGCGCCGGAATTACGTCGTGCTGTTTGCGCTAACGTCATGGTCTGATTGATGATGGCGTGCGGTGGAACGCGAACGGGAGTTACCTCAGGAGAAACGGTTCTTTGTGGCGCTTGTTGATGAGTGGAATGTCTTCCTTGGTGGTGGGCTGTTTGTTTAGCGTCAAGTTGCTGCTCTGCGACTGCGACTCGACGCTGTCCATCGCTGCGGCACGCCTAACTGTTTATTTGGTTGATTCTCACGGCCAGACGCGCATTAAGTGTATGTTTGACTGCACGAGATGCAAAACGTAACAACAATTGCGTTGCAAGTCCCACTGCAATCGTTGTGTTGCCCTACTGATACGATTCGATACCTGCGCGTTGTGCTTGCAAGCGCAACACAAAAGAGCTGTCACTGCGTCAGCTGACTACCGGCTCGTCGACGCTAGCCGTCGCCACTGGTATCCGAAGCCGCAAAGTTTCACGGGTTTCAGACTTTTATTTTCATGTGTGTTGTATGAAAACGCATTTAACCATGAGTCATGTGTTGTTTGTTGTGCGGCCAGCGTGTCGCAATCAGAGCAACACGCATGCACCGAATATAACTACGTGTTAGAAATCAAATCAAATCTTCGCATACCTGCAGAGAGAGGTGACCCATCCTCGCCGCCTTCGTCTACCGCGCACATAATGGCTCGGCAGGAAGTCCTCCATGTCCGAACCATTGTTTGCTGAATTAGAACCTAGCAAAAGATCCGTTTCTCTATCAGTCTCGAAATCTTGCATGGGATATTCCATTCCCGACGACGAGCTGCTATATTTATAACCTCACATTATGTCCGACTACGTCCCACAAACGGTAAACAGACAGAAAGCACCCCCACAAAAGCGTAAAGCCCTTAAACCTATACGGCCCACCCGGCCCAACTTACACATTACGTCTGTGCAATACCATGCTATGAGGGATCGTCGGGGGGGTTACGGCATGCGAGGAGGCACTTCGGGCTAGACTGTCGCGCGAATGCCTCGCCAATACGCACGCACTGCGCTGCGCTCAACACCCAGTATGTGCGGCCGATTTTAGCGCACGCCAAACCACTACGGATGATAGTCAAACTCTACGTGCCGGAACTCATGTTACTCCAATAAGAACTCCACCAATGAAACCACTACAGTCAGGTCATGCAAAACAGCAATATTGTTTCAAATAATTATCTTATCTACTCTAATCAGTCATACGATTGTAAAATCATATATGACTAGCATTCAATTCAAGTATGTTCAAGTATCTATGTCAGTAGAAACTGCATTGTCTGATTTGTTTTATCAAGTACTTCAGGAGTTTGAGAAAAAGCAAATATAAAATAGAAAAATTCAACTACCTAATATTTTTTGTGTAAAGGTACTCACTAGAAACACCGCTGGGAAAGTATGTTTGATGAATGAATCATCACCAACTGCCGGGCTGCCATCGATCTTATCTGAATGTTTGTTCATAAAACAAATTGTAAACTAATCTAAACACAGATTATCGAGCGCCATCTATCGGTGATTTGATGAAACTAAATCTAAGCCATAAACTACGACAACCAAATTTCTAAATTTGAAAACCAAAATTTTCACATTTTTAAGAAGAAGTTAAACTAAATTAAAATTTTGTGTTATTTCAACTTGAAATAATTTATAAAACAAATTATAAATCTATCTAAACATAGATTATCGAGCGCCATCTAGCAGAAATTATATAACATTATATCTAAGCCACGAACTTCGATAAAACAATTTCTAAAATTTCTAAATTAAAAAAAAATTGTTTCCTTGTGAAAACATAAAATTAAAATTCAAAATTTTCAAATATCTATGCATATTTTGGTGTTATTACAAGCTGAACTAATTAGAATGGCATGTATTCCAATTATGTTTATGGTTTTGTGCGTTAGCAATGGAAATATGACTGTAATTAATAATCCGCTGGGGAGTACATATTCTGATGATGCATGACGAAAGTTATTAATACGCTTTCGTCGAATCAATTTTCTTGCGTACTCGCAAATTACTAGTTGTACGCGGGCGGGCGCGATGTGTGTCGCGCGGAATTAAATCGTTTATTGCGATCGCCGCGGACGAATCTAATTTTAAAATCGAACTGCGCAAAGAATCGAAAATACGCTCGTGCTAAATTGTAAACTTGGCGTTAAGGCACGCAAAGTGTAGAATGAAGTAAGTACGTTAAACTTAAGTAAACTACAGCAATAAACTAATCAGGCAAATCATTAAAAAACACGTTTGTTGTGTTTTGATTGCGATTTGTATGTTTAGAGTGATTAGTCGAGAAAAAATTTTGCATAAAAAGTAAAAATTTGATTTTAACACACCTGTAAGAGGTTTAATTTTAAGAATTTTTAGTTTTTTCGTGGTAAATTACTTTATAAATGCATAAAAATAGAAATATGTTGTTAATTTGCATAGATGGCGCTTTTGTAACTGTCAAAAAAGTTACATAACCTTAAAATAACATCAAACAAATCATCTGTTTTAAAATTGACAGCCCAACACATAAAAATGTGGTTATGCACTTCAAACGTGCCAAAACCTATTTTTTAATGCTTAAACTAAGCAAAAAATATGTCTACCACGCCAAGTATATTTTTTTCTCATGATATATAATATAAAACAATTATTACGCACCTGTTCATTGTTTTAAAACTTATTTTCAACACTTGTAGTAAATATTAAAGTTTATTCCATGATGCGCCTGTTGTGCGTTGATGGCTTGATGGCTGTTGCGTCTTGCGCGCTTGCAAATGTTTCAACAAGTGGGTGAAAAAGTGCAATTTCTTGTCGGCGGGCGCGATGAAGGGAGACGGCGCGAATCGGCGTGCAAAGGTGCGATCGGTCCGCGGTGCGCGTGTGTCCGACCACGATCAAACTCTGGCGGGCGCGGCGCGTCGCACGCCCGCCGCACACGGCATCTCCAAGTGTGTACACATCTGCCTGCCAATCCTGCCGTTTTATCTGAAACTAGCAGGAAGCGCACAAAAGCCGGCGACGGCGACGCTTAGTTTAGCCGCAGCTGTCAACTGAAACGCCCGCCAAAAAATAAATCTCGTGCGGAGCGCGCGAACGCAACTTTGCACACGCAAAATATTTGACGAAACTTTCAACAACTGATCAAATCAAATCAAATTAACAAATAATTCAAGTTCAAGTTTGAAATAAAATTAAATAATTTTAAAGTGTTTCTGAGTGTTTTATAAATTAATAATTTTAAAATGATTTAATTTGATGATAAATTAATTTAAAAAAAATTTAAAATGGAAACAATGTCGCATACGAAAAGCGCTCATGAGCTGGTTGAAGTCACACAGAGTCTTCTTCGCAGTCAGAATCATCAGGAGGAAAACGGCAGCGTGGAGACACTCACCGCCGGCGGCGAAGAGAAAAAGTTCGAGGAAAGTCCACGCAGTAAAACTAAAGAAAAGAAAAACAATCTGCATCAACACCAACAGCCGCATTCGACACCAACATCCACTTTTGACGACGGTTATGGTTCTTGCAATAGCACACCACAAGGTTCTGGTAAGTATCAGTTAATTGCTGGATTAATAATTAAGATGTGATAAATCAATTTGGTTGACTGAGCGGAGCGCGCGATTTCAATTAAGTTGACCTTATTTTAAAAATATGTTTAAAATGTGTTAAAATGCATCTTTTGTCACTTCATTAAATGCGTTCGCTGGAGAGCAATGAAACGATTAAATATTCATATTAATAAAATTTAATTGCTCGGAATTAAGACCTCAAAGTTGGTCGTTTTTCGACTGCGCATTAATTGAGGCCGGCGCGCTTGGGCTTCATTATGGAAATATTCGTGCGATGCGTAAATATTCAAAATATTCGCCGAGCAAAATAAAACATATTAATTAATACACTATATGATTATAATATACAAATCGTGCGTGTTTCTGACCTTTACTCATATTAAAACACGCCTTAAATAAACTTTCTTTAAAAAAATTTTGGAATTTTTTTTTCTTGATGTGATGTGAAATTGATTCCTGTTTATTGCTTTCAATTTACGTCTAATTTCATCCCGCAGATCGCATCCTGCAAATTATCCCTCGGTCCTGCAACTGTCATTTCCCTTATTGTTGCATATTGAATACTCTCGGATGCATCACCACCGGAAACAATTTCATCTCAGGCACCCCCGACTTGTTGAGAGACGCGCGTAAATGTTTTCGTAACACAATTTCGCGTTTGCAATATCGACTAATTGCAGACTTCAACTTGAACTAGAAAACGCGACCGCGAGACAAGACAATACCTACGTACCTACAATACGTGCATATAAATATTGCAATGCGCACGCGGGTTGTTGTAAACCAGTGAATAAAACACGGAATGTAAGATATTCCGCATACTCTGCGCCTCGGTGTGTAATAAGTCGGACTTGAAGTCTTGGACAGCATAATAAAAGTTTGGAATTCATAAACTTTTCATAAACCACATTTCTTATTCGCTTTGCGTTGATTCTAACCTCGAATGTCAACTTCTAAAATGGCCACTTAGGAGAATGTTTACTTTGTATAATATGTATTTGTTTTTTGTATGTGAAAAATTTCATGTTTGCATACGTTTTATTGCTTTGGGTATTTGGCAAGTTTCAATGGAGCCAAGTTAACGTCCATACAAATATCTAATTATCGCTGAAATTTATTATACACTTAAAGAGTTATAATGTTGGGCGGCTCGATGCACCAAGCATTGTGTGCTATTTCGAAAATTTGCTGGCACAATGAAACGCGTCGGTCATGCATTCGACACACATAACTGCAATAAAACAAATTCACAGCAAGCCTAAACAAAACATAAATCTATTATTTGCTAGTAATGCGTAAAATGTAACAAGTTTTGTGTATAGTGTTATAGTTTAATACACAAAAGCAACAAGTTGACTGCAAATTTAAAATAAGAAAATAATTATGATATTTCATAAAGTAAGTGTGAAAAATATAATAATTTAATACTCGGAGTAAAAAAAAACACTTAAAACATTTAAAATATTCTTTTACATAAGTTTTCAAGGCCTGATAATGTAATAGGTGTAACTGAAAATCATGAAAATTTAGTAAAATGGCTGAGAATGCAAATATTTTAATAAAATGACATTTCAAAATTCAAATAAGCAAGTTTTATACGAGTTGAACACTAATCAAAGTGAGCAACTCAATAATTGGGCGCAAGTTTAAAATTTACAAAATAAAATTGACTTTTACCACTTAAATCCGAGAATTTCTGCAAAATATCTTATATATTGTGTATCTACCGATATTATAAAAGTTGTGTTAGTTACATCATTAATAACTCAAGAACTGCTGGACAGATTTTGATGATCTATGATTTGTTGGATTTGTCTCCATCCCGAATAGCAGAATAGCAATTAAAATATTAAAACTTATGGCATAAAGGGTGTTAAATAAGGGATGAAAATTTGTATACATATTCAAACGTAGTTATAGTTAAATAATTATTTCCTAGATGGCGCTAAAGTAAATTATTAGTATTTTTAATTTCTTTAAAACATAAAATTAATACCCAAATATCAAAACGACCAACTTTTAACACTTTATAAGTAATCTCCAATAAAATACTCAAAAGTTTAAGGTTTTTCACGCATTGCACATGTGTAAAGTCTCAATTTACACATAAAAACAAAATGCCTGCTGATGAAGTCGTAAATAAATGAAAACCTAAATTCCATTCGCATATTTCGCGCCGTCCGCAACAACCATCATTAAACGCTAATCATGATAATGTGCTAATTGGTCACATCAGCGCCGCCCATTCGCCATGCGCGAGCTTACATACATACCGCGCCGATTGAAGCAACAAGATTTATGAAGTACACGCAGCGAGAAGACGCTTATTAATTCATGCAAATTAAGTAATTACACGCGCGAGGCGTGCGCGCTTCTAATGAATCTAATCGGGCGATTAATAAATATGATAAACGACGTGAAAATATTTCGCGCGCGCGCGAGTGTGTTGTAACACACGCTCGCAGGCGTTTGCAACAAGGTGTGTGAGACATGTCCGACATGTTCAACAACTTGGAGCTGTCTAACATCGGCGCAACACCGCATAATCAGGCACGTTTCGATGCAAACATCTTCATAAGTTTTCGTTGGACATTTAATGCCAACTACGAGTAGTGTACCTTCAACCTACAGAGAAATAGAAAAAACGCGGCGCGCTTGATCAACAGTTTAGCGCATCAACAAGCAGATTCCAATTTCGCTGTCAGCTGCCAAACGAATCCAACACGTGGCTGAAATATTTTTCTACGTTTTAACTAACAGCAAACAATTAAAAATAACATTTTAGCAAGTTGAGAATATTTACGAAAGTTTGTTTTGTATCTTGCGTGATATTTCACTATAACTAACTATTAATAGTTAATAGTTGATGAAAATGAATTTGTAACATTTTAACGTAGGTTCGCACTCGAAGTTTATCTTAATTGCTAGAGTCGATAGCGAATTAATCCGCTAAATAGCTAATAAACTCGTAAAACGTGCACGAGTTTAATAGGCGTCGACACGTTTGCCGACCGGCGGCAAAAACGCGCTAAAATCCGATAATATCCGCGTTAATAATCCCCGCATCCGACGCAATCGCTTACGTCCGCGCATGCAAATGACACCGCCGCCTCGCGCACGTATTTAATAATCCGGCCGGCGGTGGCGACGGGCGGCGTTTTCGTTTTGTTGCATCAAAATAGCCCGAGTGCGACGACCAGCGATAAATAAGAAGTAAGACTTGATAGAAAAACGAAAACAAGTCAAAATTCGAAATATTCCGCAACTGTATTATTTATACTCTGTAGCTCTATAGCCGGTTGTGTACTAGCTGTTTAGAATTAAATTAATGAGATTATTTGCGGTTTAGTCTTTTGTAGGAGCGATTTGTTTGAAACTTGAATTAAATCATTGTTTTCTCTGACTTTGCGGGCAAATAGGCCGGTGGCAGCTGAAACTAGGCGATAGAACTGTTCCGAAATTAAGTTTTATTCTACAATTCTATGCTATATTTTAATTAAAACTTATTCCGTGAAGCCACAAGCGTTTATTTTAAATTCTTCGGTGTTTTAATTCAAAATAAAGATTTTTAAATAAATATCTACGGTTAGTAATTTATCCAACATCGCGACGCGGAATTCATATTTAGACTTCAAAAAATATTAACCGGCATTTTTACTAGAATAATTGAGTTTATAATCAACATACGAAAGATTAAACAGTTCCCTATCAGAGTAAAATACCAATATTGGGTAATTTTTTTTTCTTCGATGTAACGACACCTCGCAATAAAATGAAAAATTGTTATCAATGAACTGTCGCAAACGGAAAAGTATTAATTTTTGAAGATTATTCGATAAATTGGAATATTTAATCCGGAAAAATTATGTTTTGTTACGGTGTTATTAGTAACTTAATAATTTGCTCATTTGTGCGTAAAATGCTAGCCAAAATACACAATTTTTGTTCTTCCCAGTGCTTAAAAGTATACTTTTGCATACTAAAACAGTACAAAAAGTAATTTACGCACTTATACCGAAAAATAACTCATTATATGTAATTATCCACCAAAAATGATATTCGGTATATGCTTTACGCTATAAAATTATAAAATTTGAGAAGACGCGATGCACGCTCGAATAATTTAATAGAAATTTTAATTGTGCCAGTTGGCATTGTTTGCGTTTAAAACTCGGCGCACAATGCGGCTGTGCGGCGGTCGGGCTTAATGCGCTCGCACACACGCACCCCTAACTAAGTCTGGTGCGAAGTTTCCGTATCGACAGTGGTGGCGGCGGCGGCGGCGATGACGGTATTCCCCTTTCATTTGCGGCGTGACGACGGATCGGATGCATTGTCTTCGGCTCTTTGGCATTCTTTCCACCCTCTCAACATGTGCGCATCACATGTGTGACAATACAAATGAAAATTGAAAAACTCAAAAATCCAAACCAAATAAAACCAAATCTCACACTCAACGCGATGATAAGTGTGTAGTTTGTGTATAAAATTTAGGTAATGGCGCTGGCGATAATGAAATCTGCAGCCGAATGAAATGAATACGCGGTTAATGTTATTAAATAAACATCCATCTTCATTTGCGGCGGTCGTCAGAGCTCGTCACACGCGTCACTCGCTTGACACAATGGCGACTTGTTCACAAATTTATAGTTAAAATAGTTCTGCTTCAGATTACAGCGCTGAGTTCGAGTGTCCGGTGGCCGGCGCTCGCAAAACAAATTCATTAATTTATTGATAAGCTTCCTCCTCAACTGGAAGGCAAACAGGCGCTATACTAATAATCCTCTCACGCTAGACGAAATTCATTATCACATTCAGCTTTTTAATTCGGCGCTCGATTTAAGTATTGGAAAAGCGCTATCACCGTAGTAATTCTTGTTTTCCAAATATGGCCGCACATTCCTTCGCTCCTCGACTTATGGATAAATTAATCGACATCGACATCGACTTCGTGCATCTCCCCCGCTTCCGGTCGCGGGCCCTTCTTGCGATGCCGGTGGTGGTTATGAAGGAATTTTTCCGCGGCCTTGTACCTGATGATCTTATCCTCAGGGCCGGCGGGCGGGCGGGCGACGAGGGACATATCTCTCGTAATATTGGTGTCCTGGAATGCAGTAATGCGGCGGCGGCGGCGATGACGGCGCGCTCTTTATTGAGAGATGAAGCCGTGAGACGCTTCTGGAATGCACGTATAATAGGCGCGCGCGGTGCGATTCTTCTTCCTTTCGGAGACCCCGAGAGCGTGTGCATTCGAAGACGCCGCCGTCACGACGCGCCGCGTACGCGTTGGCAGCCACCGCGCGCGCCCAAAAATACGCCATAATCATCAATATTCATTACGCGTTCCGGCATTATCACTCATCGAACAATCTATTACAATGGTGCGGAACTATCCCTGCTTTTCGACAACTTTTCAACCTCCGCAATTAAACGCGCCATCTATGAAACAATAGCCGCGAACGTAATAAATCAACCGCAATCCACATATCTGATGATTACATAATTAAAATCATGTCCAACACGATGATTACATGTTGTACGCCGCAACTAAATAGCAGAAAACAAACGATAAATTTCATTTTTATCGCATATTTATTCAAATGGAAGCGCGCGCAATAAATAACGCAAGTGGCACGCATAACATTTTCATAAATCCGCTCGTAATCGACACGTTTGACGTATCCGACGCGTAATTAATGCGCCGAGCGGCGTTATATCGACTTGCTAATCGCATAATTCACACGTAGCTTAATGAAAACCAAGTGGACAAACAAGCAAAATGTACAACTACGTAGCGCCAGTTTTATGTCCTTAATTCTTTACTCTTAAGCCGCGACAATATTCAAATTTTATGTCCGGCACGTCGGACGCATCAAGCGCATTTGCACCATAAATCGCCGGGCTTTTCATGGTCAACGCGACAATGCGCGCGCGCTGGCGTTTTATGTCGTATTAATGCAAATCGCGAAGAGTTTTTATTAATTTTCAAGACGCCGCGCGTCGAAAATGCCATCACTTTACCGTCACCGCTGCGAATGTAATTCGATGAGGCTTAGGTAATTATCTAGTGCGCTTCCGGGCAGTCAAAGTCTCACTTCCGGACTAACTACCAACGGTAATTGAGTAATTAAAACGTTTAATTTCTAGCTACTCACTCATCAATTTCGTAAGAAAACTTTAAAGTTATTTTTAGTTGGCAAATGAAAATGATTTTTTCTATTTCCGCCAATTTTTACACGGTTTCGAGACACAAAAATTGGAATTTTAATCATGGCTGTGACTAAAGTAGTTTAGTCACGGGTTGTTAAAGTACCACTTAGCGCACTTGATATTTAATACACTAAAATATTTTGTACTTTTTGTATTTTAGGCAAAAACTCCGGGAAACAGTTGAATCCGTTCACAAACTGTGTGACCATACGGAAAAGTAAGTTTGATCAAGTTAAGAATGTGAGAGATTATGTAGAAACTTGTTTGGAAGTAAATTTTAAGTCAATTTCTTACCTTTAAAGTTGTTTTCCTTATGATGCTGCAGAAGACCTACACGTCCAATTAGAAGAAGATGAAAAGTTCGAGTCGTTCGCGTTGTCGACCAGCTCCAGCCAAGTGGAAGCGGATCCAGACTCACCGAAGGACCCCAATGGGGGTGTGGACGATGGCCGCGAGACGTGGAGCTCAAATGCTGACTTTTTGTTGTCGATAATCGGCTTTGCTGTCGATTTGGCGAACGTCTGGCGGTTTCCATACCTGTGCTATCGCAACGGTGGCGGTACTAAGAAAAAAACACGCAACTAACAACTCAATTGAGTATTTGAATCTTCTTTTTTTGTATATAGGAGCTTTCCTCATACCTTATACACTGATGTTGGTTTTCGGGGCTGTTCCACTCTTCTACATGGAGCTGATCCTCGGCCAGTTCAATCGCGAGGGGCCTATCAGTGTCTGGCGAATATGTCCCCTGTTCAAAGGTAGAAATTGATTCATTTTCTCGTCGTAATAAAACGCCCCGAATCGGTTTTTCGTTTATTTTTTAATACGGCACATTTTAAGTAAATCCGCTTGTGATGATGTGTTCGCAGGTGTCGGATTCTGTGCCGTCCTCGTCGCCTTCTACGTTTCGTTTTATTACAACGTTATAATAGGTAAGTGACTGGCGCATTTGCTCATTTTTTCTTCGTCATTTTCGCATTCCATGAGGAAGGAAAAAAGTGACGTGTCTAAACGAAATCGAATTTAACGCGTGTTGCGCGACAAATTGCACTTGAGCACATTTTGAAGCCGTGTGCTGCGACGCCTCGTTTGGTTCGATTTACGAAAAACATAAACGTTTGACGCGCGTCATATTCGTTCGGGCTAACAATGTCGATATTGTGCCACTTCGGTCGATGAAAAAGTTGAGAGTGGGCGGAAATTGCGTTGCTATCACGGCGAAACTCACTCGAAACGGAAATAAATACTGTAGGGGATGCGCGCTTTTGGCTCACACTGTTTACATCATGTAATAATCAGTAAATAATTGCGTTAATCAACGGTTAACAGCATGGTCGTTGTACTTCCTCGGCGCGAGCATCAGCGAAAATCTGCCGTGGTTGAATTGCAACAACACGTGGAATACTGATTTGTGCTGGGACAACACCACCTCCAAACGCATCTCACCGAATACCAGTGTTCCGGAAGAGTTTAGCAATCGTCATACACCAGCATCTGAATTTTTTCAGTAGGTTTAGTGTACAAACAAAAATATTTCAACTTTTAAAACTATGCAAAACTATTTTTTTATGTGAAGTCGTAAAGTATTAGAAATGCAAGGAAGCGAAGGTCTTCACGACATCGGATTCCCAAAATGGCAACTGGTACTTTGCTTGATGATCGTCTACAGTATGTTGTACATCTCACTTTTTAAAGGCGTCAAATCATCCGGTAAAATTTAAAAAAAAATAATTTTTTAAATAATTAATTCCTAATTTTACCTTTCTGAGCAGGAAAAGTGGTCTGGATCACAGCAACCATGCCCTACGTAGTCCTGACTATTCTTCTCATCCGAGGTCTGATGTTACCTGGAGCCCTCAAGGGTATTTCTTACTACCTCCAACCGGAACTATCAAAATTGAAAGAAACCCAAGTGTGGGTTGATGCGGCCGTGCAAATATTTTATTCCGTCGGGGCTGGTTTTGGTGTACATTTATCCTATGCCAGTTATAATACATTCCATAACAATTGTTATAGGTATTTATTTAATTATTTACTCATTATTTTAAGAGGAAATATTTAATTATTTTCTATGTTTTTCTTTATTCTAGAAATTGTATAGTTACCACTGCAGTCAACTGCTTCACGAGTTTCTTTTCCGGTTTTGTCATCTTCACTTACCTTGGTTACATGTCCTATAAACAAGGAGTTCATATCAGCGCAGTCGCAACGGAAGGTCTGTTAACATATCATGGTATCAACACAATGTAAATCTGATGATAATTCGTTGTTTTCTTGCCAAACAGGTCCTGGTTTGGTGTTTCAAGTGTACCCGGAAGCAGTTGCCACCCTCCGGGAAGTCACTTCTGGTCGATGCTGTTTTTCTTCATGTTGATCATGCTGGGGCTTGATTCTGCTGTAAGAAACTTAAAATTTTCAAAAAAATTAATTTTTTAATTTGATTCTATAATGTTGTATGCAGATGGGTGGATTAGAATGCGTCATAACTGGTTTAATGGATGAATTCGCCGGATTCTTCAAGCGTATTAGACTCTCCCGAGAAATGTTCACGTTGGTCATCATTTTCCTCTCGTTTTCAGTGGCTACCATCAATGTTACACCGGTAAGTTTATTTTTTACATCATCTTAATCTATTTTTATAAAAATTAATTTCTCTCCAGGGAGGTATCTATATGTTTCATCTTTTGGACACTTACGCCGCTGGTATCTCTCTGCTCTGCTCGGCGCTCTTTGAAGCAATCGCCGTCTCTTGGTTTTACGGTGAGTAAATACGCCCGCGATGAATATCAAATCAACATTATCCAAACTTGATTTGCATCTATTACCTCCCACTGTTTGTGTACTGTTTCCTCGGTTAGGTCTGGATAAGTTTACGCAAGACGTCGAGGCGATGATTGGCATCAAACCGGGCATCTACTGGCGAATATGCTGGAAATTTATCAGTCCACTGTTTATCATCGTAAGTTGAAGATATTATTTTTAATTTCAACAAGTAGTGAGTGAAATGATTTGTTTGTTGAATTTATGAATATTTTCAGGGCGTTGTGTTGTTTGGTTTGCTGAATCCACAACAGCTGCAATACAACGATTATCTTTATCCGAATTGGGCAGTGTTGTTAGGGTGGGGATTAGCGATGTCTTCGATATTGATGATTCCAATTGTGGCCATTACGCAATTGTGCAAAACAAAAGGAGATTTCACCGAAGTAAGTTTTTCTATTTTCACATTATAAAAAGCTTATAAGTGAGGTTAAAGTCAACATAACCTAATTTTTTTTTCAGAGAATAGCCATAAACATTTCACCAAAAGAAGAACACGAGCTGATCCGTCAAGAAAAACTCGTAAGTCGATTCAAAGCGAAGCACTGGCTGTACGTGTAAGTGTAAGACTAAGAATCTCCAGCACACCCACATTAATAAAAATTTAAGCATTGAAGCAAGTGTTGCCACCTATTTACTTCGTTGACATATTGACAAACGAAATAATTGATTCTTATAGTATGTGTGTGTGAAATTACGCTGGCCGTAATGTTTTTATACAAGCACAATGCGTACGCAACACGTACAAATACAAAGTATTATTATTAATATTAAAATCGATATGCGCATGCGCACACCAACCGGAAATTTTATTTAAACATTCCAAAACTTACAAAAAAGAGCTTATAAACTCGAATCAAAAAAATATCAGCAACAACTGACGCATACGCCATTATTCCAATCATTAACCGATTTCCGGTTGTGGTGTTTCATGCGATATTCGAATAAACAATTGTATTATTACTTATTACTCTCTATAAAGTTGTAGATTTAAGTGAAACTCATGCATGCACAAGGATTTGCAACAAAAGCGGGCAAGATCAAGCTGCATCTTGTACATATAACCTTGTCTAACCTAACATAACCTCCAATAACCTAACCTTAAATGTGTAGAGGAATTTAAACGTCCTGTATGTGTACTTGAAATTGTACAAATGTGTTGTTTCCGTTTGTTCGTCAATCACACACATCGATTGTGCGATCGTTTTGACAACAAAAGTGTAACGCTAGTAATAATTGCGAGAGCGCAACAAACGAATGGGTCCAAACTGGCATACCTCTTGCAGAGACAGACTCAAATAAATACTATAAGCCATTTTGATTCGAATAAGCAAAACAACAAAACTTGCTTTGTTTGTCACGCATTTATCTAATACTTAGAATCAAGAAAATATGTGTAGAGAAATAGCTTTAAAAGTGTTAATAAGTCGTTGAGTACTTAACTTAACTACTGATATGATTGTATGTATAGAAAATGTAACGTCTAACGTTAACTCTGTGTTGATCGTTGAAACGTAATCTAGGAAAATATTGCAATGCTGCAGATTGCAATGCGATTTGCAACGCTAGACAAATACATGTAATGTTATTGAATCGTGTGATAAATGTAGTTTGTATTAGTTGAATGTAAAAAAAACGCTCTTTCGTTTCACTTATCTAAGTCAATGTCTACGTTTATGATATGATACTACTTAATTTGTAAATTCAATGTGAATAGCTGAATACCGGCATTCGATGTACGTTAGAAACAATCATGCCTTCGTTGTTTCTAATCGAATGGAAAATGCGACTTGTTATTCATGTGTAAATATAAATAAAATATTAATAATAAACTCACATCTTTGTTTGCTTCACTTTTTGTTCGCCATGATGCACTCGGAGTGAATTTTTGCACAAACAACAACCGAAACAAGTGAAACACGATTTCTGCTAGTGATTTCTACTATACCCAACGTTATAGCGCCCTCTATGGCATACGAAAATGATCATCGAAGCGGTAAATTTAAAAGCTCCGAAGACTTCTAGGTTATAAAATTCAAAAAAGTTACAAGATTCAGAACATGCTCGTTTCTTATCACTTTTTATTCGCACGTTGAACGGTAAAGACTAATTTATTAACCATGACTTGCCGCGAGATTTTAACTTTACAATTCGGTCATTATGCTAATTTTGTCGGTGCACATTGGTGGAATTCACAAGAATTAAGTTTCGAATATAACGCGAATAAACCTTCGACAATTAATCATGACATACTGTTTCGCGAGGGCTTAACGCCGAACGGTGAGGTAACTTTTACACCCAGACTCCTGCTTTCCGATTTAAAAGGTAGCCTTAAATCCCTTCCGAAATATGGTAATCTATACGGAGAAGCAAGTCCCGAAGAAGCGGATCCTTTATGGTTTAAACCCGCTGAAGTCGAGGCTGATCCCGAAATCCCAAAGAATGAATTCCAACAAGCCATTGAATCCACTTCTGAAGGTGCCCCCCAGGTCATAGATACTAGAACAGCCGAAAATTTACAAGTTGATGTCTGGAGTGATATTCTTTACACAAGATATCATCCAAGGACAGTTAACATTGTAAATGACTATGAGCATGGCAATCTTGACAATGATTTCGTCGCTTTTCCCATGGGTTGTAAAATTTGGAAGACTGTTGATTATGAAGATGAGTTTGCTGATAAAATCCGGATGTATATTGAAGAATGTGATCATTTTCAGGTGATTTTGATGTTTTTACTCATTATCATCATGACTAATCATGTTTTTCTTTGTTAACAGGGATTTCAAATCTTATTGGACTCAACAAACGCGTTCGCCGGCTTGGGCACCGCCTGTATGGAGCATTTATACGATGAATACTTCTCAAAGAAAATGTTTGCCATTCCCCTCATACCTGGAACTCATCCAGATTACAAATATTCCACAGATGAAGAAGAAGCCAAGTCACAATATAAAGATACACTTAGAGCTCTTAATTTAGCATTTACCTATCAGAAGGTGAATGAAGAAGCAGCCATTTTCAATCCGTTGTGTACAGCGCAGAAGGGCTTCAGGCAACCGGGGGAGAAGATTAATTTTAATAATGTTGAATATGACATTGAATCTCAGTATCACACGAGTGCGATTTTAGCGTCGGCGATAGACACATACACGTTAAAATACAGAATGAAGGATAGTCGGTATGGAATTAGTGATTTGGCTTCTGCTTTGACTGCACATGGAAGGAAAGGTGTGGCTGCTAGTCTATGTCTTCCGTTTGCGTTGAATGAAGATCAGGAATTGATTGATTGTCTTGATAATTGGGACGGACCACTCTCACATTGTATTACTCCAAGAACTAGAATAGGTAAAATATTATTATTGTGGTTTTACAAGTGAATTGTTATTAATTATTGTAAATTGTTTTGTTTTACAGGTACTAAGAGAATGACGCAACTTGTGACGCTCAGAGGAGTTCCGGAATCTCGACTAAAGAAACCTATAGCGCAAGCGGGCAAACAGAAAGATTTACCTGCGTATAAGTGTAAGAATATTCAAGAAATGTTGTCAATGTATTATTCGTACACTTGTGATGATAGTATTACAAATATCACCAGTGTAGAGAAAGGTTTTTGTGTAAAAACTCCGTTTCCGCAATTGTTTTCGTCTAAGATTGGTGTTCAGGGTAATGTGATGTTTGATCCACGGATACAGAATGTTGGTAAGTGCTAAAAACTAATTTATAAAGTTGATTAGTACATTAAAACTGTTTAATTATATCTTTTTCCTTTGAACTTTAGGTGTGGAAAGTGTGCCCGTCTTAGCTGGTCTTCACAATGGAATAGAATTTGGAGAAATGTTGGAATCCTTATACAAACACACCAAAAGAATCCGCATCGATAAGTTTCATCAGTACCCCAGCAATGGCTACGGCAGAGACGAGTTTGATGAATGTATGGAGCAAATTATAACGCTGAGGGAATGCTACGAAGACAATTATTTAATTTGATGTGTTGTATGTATTACTATTTTTGTACTTAATATATAACTTAGGGACCCCTTGCACCTCGCGTCTTTGAACACATTGGCGTGAGGGTAAGAGGACAAACCTGTAAATTTCTAATTATACCTGCTTTTGTGACTCAACTTTCTCCCTCTCTTACCCTTACCTCCCACCACATTTTGCGGGTCGCCCGCAGGTATAAAAGGGCTGCGCGAAGTGCAACACATGCTCAGTCGGGTCTGAGTTGTCCAGCAGTCCAGTCGCAGGTTTCTAGGCTCTTCTCTTGTTTGTTCTTCTGTTGATGGATGTTTAACAGCAATTTTCGCATCTGGGGGCCCTTAAGTATCGTAAACCGGATCTAGAGCAAGTCTGTTATACATGTTGCGTGTATTATATAAGGGATTGTCCATTAATCACGTGAGGCATGAAGGGGAGGGGTTTGTTAAAAATCACGAAAAATCACCAGGGGAGGGGAGTGGAGTAAGATATCACGTGTATTTATTTTTTCGTCAAACGCACGATTTCTAAAGAGAAAAATTTTATTATTCTTTGTTGGGATTAAAATACACGTGATGATGGGGGTGGGGGTGGGGTAATCTTAAACCTCACGACGTATCACCAAGGGGAGGGGGTCCAAAAAATGAAAAAAAAGATCACGTGATTAATGGACAGCCCCTAAGTGACAATTTGTTTAAACCACATTTGCCATTCGTTATGCCGATTAGAATACAAAATTACCTATTTTCAGCTGAACTTTTAAGTATTTCCACTGTTTTTCATACTCTTTTAAACCACAGCGGTGGTTTAACATAAAAATTTAAAACAAAGCTTAAAACTACTATTCATTTCATTTAAAGCAAAATTATTCAAATCATTTCAGCCATTTTGTTTTAGCGAGACTAATGAGCATGTGTTTCGATAAAAAGCAGTTTAATTCGAACGCTTCTCTTTCAATTTCAATCTTTAAGCGAGTTATTCAATCACAAACTGAAGTATAACTATTACAAATTATGAAAAATATTTTTAATATACACTGGCACAAAACGTAGCACTCAACCTCAACCAGTTAAAAATGAAAATTTTCACGTGGTCGACTAAAAAGTATCCAACGCATGTTGATTCCGGGTCAAAGTAAACCTAACATTAAACATATCTTAATCAATATGTTAACAAATGACTCTTGAATCTAATTCGACGTGACATGACGCTATTACTACTACTGGTAGCTGTAGTTGCTGCCGTAACCGCTCCATTGATTGTAGCCACCGTAATTTCCCTGGTACTGCCAGCCTTGGTACTGATATTGGTCGCCTTGACCGTACTGCTGGTACTGGTTGTATGTGCCCTGTTGTGAATTACCGTACTGGTAGGAGCCGGCCGCTGATGAACTGTAGTTGCCGTAATTGTTGAACGAATTCGAGGCGGATGTCGTTGACGGCACGTTTTTGTCTTTTTTATTCACATCACTGCCAGAAACAGAACACAATAATAAAAATCAAGATAAAAAGTTGAAAATTTATAACTTACACTTTGTTATCCTTTTTCTTGCTTTGTTCCTTGCTTGCCTTGATGCATTTCTGATAGTCTTCGTACGCCTGCTGGACGGATGCAATATCCGCACCGAAATCCTCCAAAAACTCCAACTTTCGCTGCGCAAACATTACTTTCTGATCGATATCTGTACTCTCCTTATCCAGGAACGAATCAATCGCTTTGAGGACATCCTCCTCTTTGAAGTCCTCTCTATGCAGGGTCAAATCAATCAACTGCAGATACAATCGCGAGTTATTTGCATCTTTTGCGATTGCAGTGTTGATAATCTCGATCGCCTTAGCATTGTCTTTCAACAACATAGTCGAAAATCGCGCGTACTTAATCGCCATATTTGTCGAAATAACCTTATTCTTAGAATTATGAATATAATGCTCGTACAATTGACAACATTTCTCAAGATCACCTCGCCGGCGCTCTAAATTAATCCGTCTATAAGCAACCTGCAGTAAATTCGGAACTGATTTCTCTAAATTCTGCAAGATTTCCGCTGCTTTGTTATAATTCTGAACAGACTCTTCAAACAGAGCCCATTGGAGATGCACGTTGGGTTTCTTAAGATGATGGATTGTACAAGCACGCTCGAAAACGTCTTTAATTTTTGCCTGAAGCGAATCCTCTTTGAGGCCTTGCAGATAGTGAACAAACTTGAGCCAAAACTCTTCGTATAGAGCGCACGCAATGAGGCAACGTTCAAAAAGTACAATTATTCGCGATTTGTCGCCTTGTTCGATTTCATAGTCGAGATAATCTTGCCAGTTTTTGAGTTGACAACGTTCAAGAGGTTTTACGTGAAAGTATGGACGTTTAATCTAAATAAAAACAAGAAAAACGTAAATATTTGTACCAATTTTAAGTTTTTATGGTATAGACTTACTCCTTCTTCGTAATTCCAACGAGCTGTGACGGCAGTTGATGTATTTTTGTGGACTTTTCGACGAATCGAGATGATTCTCTCACGGATTGCTTTTGTTTCTTCATCAGTATTCTAATTTTAATAGAATTAACATAAAAAAAAATCGATTTCGTCAGTTTAAAATAATTTATACTTACAGTATCTTCATTATCCTCTCCTGGAGGAATATCAGGATTGTCAGCAACATCAGCCGCGTCCTGTTTAAGCACAGCTTTGATTTCCTTGCGTAATGCAAGAAATTCATCAACTTCCAGCACTTTATTCGGTGGATTTGTCATTACATGCTCTTGAAAGCTGTAAAACATAATATTTATCATAAAACTAAACTTATAAACAAAATAATTATTACTTTTCAAAATGTTGTGTGTATCCTTGCGTAGGAGTAGCCAACAGCCTCTCATAAACAATAGTAGCATGCAGAAGACGTTTTCCCTCCACTTCCCACTTGATGTAATTCTCCCATAGACGATCCGATCGAAATTCGAGCCCGCACGCCTCCAGAGACCTCTCAAACTGCGACCGAATAAACTCCTCATCATCCGGCTTGACCGTCCGCACGTAGGTGAGGTAGTGAATCCACAAATCGACGGACAACGGGATCGCCTTCAGCCCGCGTTCGAACACCTTCGCACAGAATCATCAAAAATTATAGTAAAACACACCACACCCACCACGACGCGCGTTCCTCGCGCATGTTGCAAACGCGCGCCGCGGTCACCCTGCAAGGCAATGCTCGATTAGCTTTCGTATGTTATATATCATAATTTCTATAAGAATATAAACGGTGTTATTAGAAAGTATATGATTATGATCTGACCGAAAGCTTAGGCTCTGGTACCGACAGTATTCGCAAATTATCTTTTGGTCCTTACATTTCGTTTGCTCTTTTTGTAACGGGCGACACAAGTGAGTGAGAGAGAGAGATTTCCACCGGTGCGACCACCCCCAATTTCTCCAGCACCACGAGAGCACCCCGCGAGGGCTCACCGAGCGAGAATTTCTGGCTAGTTTGGTGCGCAAATCGTACTACGTACAACGTACATTATGTATAACAAAACATTTTGTGAGGTATCTCAAAGGTATAACACAACCTAACAATGTACAGCCTTAAGTAACATACAATGAACTTTATAAGTATTATGTATATCAGAATAACAGCAGTTAGTAGTGCAGCCGTCGAAGAGCTGTGGGGATTGCAAAACGATTACTCAGTCAATTATCAAATACGTATATCATGTATTTCAGCACTTGTGCGATTTCTACGCCGCGCTGGCGTGCACTTACCTCTTCGCACTTCTTCTTGTTGCCCTTGCGCTTCTCGTAGTCGGCGTACTTGCGCCAGTAGCCATAGCAGTACGGGTAATGTGAGAGGAACGCGTCGTATGCTTCACGAGCCGCCTCCATGTCATTCTAGAAGTTGAAACAATGCACACAATTCTAAATTAATAAACCTATCAGGGATATAATCATTATAACAATAAATTTAAGTGTAATCAGATGGCCTCTGCGAGTTTCTTCATGATCGAAATTGCAGGATTGCTTTAGAGCGACATCGTAAAACAATCTTAGACAGAATTCATCATTTTAACATTAGAAAATGCATAAAAAGGGTTTATATTAGGTTAGTTATCAAAGATAGTGTATTTTAGGAGTGCTTTTCTGTGTTTTTGTGCTTTAAAAAGCAAATTTAAGCACAAAAATCAACATTTTTCACTTCAAGAATATGTTAACCTCATTTTTTCTTATTTAATTTATCAAATTCTTCAAATAAATGCATGCTACATACCTCATGATCAACATACTGTAGAAGATAAGTCCATCCAGTGAAATCTGCAGGTTCATCATTCACTGCCTTCCAGTACTTATCCAATTCAGGTAATTTCTTAGGCGCTTTGTCTTTTTCTTCCTGTTCTCCCTCTGCGGTTTTATCTAACGACGGTTTCTTGCTAGCCACTTCATCAGATGCAGGTGATCCGTTGTCATCACCCTCCAATTTTCTTTTATTATTCTTTACAGTCTCCAATTCTTCTTCAGACACATTCTAAACAAATGAAAACATGTTATGCCACCATAGAATTAATTTATGGTTAAACTTACCTCAGTATCAGCAGGTAATTCAGCCCTCTTGGGTCCTGGTAGTTCTTCATCAGACACTTCTTCAGTTTCTGGCACTTTTACAGCTTGCATTGTGGGCAGTTCATCTTCTGAGATGTTCTCAGCATCTGGGTCAGCCTTGGCCGCATTTTCAGCACCATCCTTTGATTCTTCCTCAGTTTCTTGCTGGATGTCTTCATCCATTGCAACTTCTTCCATCACTTCCATGTTGTTATCCTCCATATCATGGTTGCCATTCTCACTCATGACAAAACCATCCTCAAAGCAACTGTTTGATTCATTGTTGATGGCATCCGATGAGCTTTCTGCTCCTTTGAATGAGTTGAAGTCATTTGTCATGCTGTTGGAGTCTTCTGGCATGTCTGATGTAATCATTTCAATGGTTTCTGATTTAATTTCAGTGCTTTCTGTTTCATTCTCAATATCTTTCATCTCCTCGGAGCTTTTGAAATCATTTTCGGCGAATTCTGTTCGGATGTCATCAAAGTGTGCGTTTTCAGGTTGCTCGATTTGTTCGGGTTGTTCACGCGGCGGTGCTTGTTCGTTTTCGGTGTCGGATGAGTCGACCTGTACTTTTTTGCGACTCTTTCGAGTAGGCTTCGGCGAGACTTCAATGATGGCACGGCCGGAACGTGTTCTGCGAACTGCACACATACGGTGTTGCATTGTAAACACGTCAAACATAAGATAATGAGGTTCAAAGCCATCGTTGTAATAATATTAACAGCGAAAAAAGCAATGTTATGTGACTAACCTGGTGCTGAGCCTTCGAAGTCCTCCATGATCGCTGGAGACGACACACCGGCACTTAATAATACAAAACGCACTGACTAATTGTTATTGCATCGATTGACGAATGAATAAAATAGAACCAATGTGGTTTCAACGATTTTGTGGTAAAATTTTACGATACGATGACCAAACACATCCGCCACCCGCAAACAACTGCGGCAATTTGCCGCGACCTTGCGCATAACAAACGCACGCGCTACAGCGACGCCATTTTGAATGACAACACAAAAATGCAAATTCAAATTTAAATTAATAAAAGAAACTTCAATAAACCAAAGTTTAGTAATCAATTATATAAAACTTATATTTATAATATTATTGTAATAATAAATGCCATTTATAACACAATTTAATTTGATTTTTATTTCCAATCAATGCGTGTAGAAGTGGCGCTGCAAAAGCTTTAGTTCTATTTCTAGTGTAAAACGTTTCTAGTGTAAAGCTGAACTCTCCAAATCTTTCGCGCCAAAGCTCCTACTTTAACCAAACTTGTTTAAAACTCAACGCTAGTTATTTGGCGGTATTTGTTGTGTACTTGTCTGATACGCTACTTTTAAAATATTATTGATTATTCCTACTTTAAATAAATTACAATTATAAAAACTAAAACTATACCATGGAAGGATTTGACGACGCCGGTGTTTTCTACAGTGATAACTTCACTGGAGACACAAACGTGAACGATAATCACATTAATTTGCAAGCAGTGAAGAAAAAGTTCAAAGAATTCATTCGTCAATTTCATGGGGATAATTTCAACTACAAATATCGGTATGTATAAAATTAATACATAAATTTTACTTTGTAACTTTATTTCTATAAAGTCCTTTTGTTTATTTAATTTTTCTGTGAATAGTGATGCTCTCAAAAGAAACTACACTTTGCATCAATACTACCTTGAAGTTAACATTGAAGATCTGGCCAGTTTTGATGAAACTCTGGCTGAGAAAATTAATAAACTACCCACTGAACATTTAGTTATCTTTGAGGAGGCTGCCAAGGAGATTGCTGATGAACTGACTGCTCCAAGACCAGCAGGAGAAGAAAAGATTCAGGATATTCAGATTATGCTCAATTCAAATGGCAGTGCTGCTAATTTAAGAGCAATGACTGTATGTTTCATCATATTTTTAAACATTAAAGGTTTAAAATGGCTGATTTTAACTAATTATTGTATTACAGTCTGATGTAGTTTCGAAACTGGTTAAAATTCCTGGCATCATCATCAGCGCATCGGGTATTCGTGCGAAAGCAACCAAAATCGCAATTCAATGTCGTTCCTGCAGCAATGTCATCTCCAATCTGCCGATTAAAGCAGGTCTTGAAGGATATGTCATGCCGCGAAAGTGTAACACGTAAGATTTTATTCAAATTTTTATATCAACTTGTTAATAATTTATAAATAACTAGGGAGCAAGCAGGAAGACCAAAATGCCCCATCGATCCATACTTCATCATCCCAGATAAGTGCCACTGCGTCGACTTCCAAGTACTCAAACTCCAAGAATTACCCGATGGTATTCCTCAGGGTGAGATTCCACGTCATTTAACGCTCTACTGTGATCGTTATTTGTGCGAAAAGGTCGTTCCGGGCAACCGTGTGTTCATCCTCGGCATCTACTCGATTAAAAAAGTTGGAAAGCCTTCACGAGTAAGCATTATACTTAACTTATTTTTACCTACAAAGTTACTAAGGTTTTAATTACTAAATAATTAATATTAAAGATGGATCATCGTGAGAAAGCCATAACAGGCGTACGCGCTCCTTATATGCGTGTGGTTGGTATCCAAATCGATAGTGAAGGCTTGGGTGGAGGTGGTGTTTCGGTAGTTACTTCTGAAGAGGAAGATTTATTCAGAAGAATGGCATCTTCACCGAATATTTATGAGCGTTTAGCGCAGAGTATTGCGCCTTCCATTTTCGGCGCGTTGGATATCAAGAAATCAATCGCTTGTCTTTTAATTGGAGGATCCCGAAAGAAGCTTCCGGATGGTTTAACCCGTAGGGGTGATATCAATGTGCTACTTTTGGGTGATCCTGGTACAGCCAAGTCGCAATTGTTGAAGTTCGTGGAAAGAGTTGCGCCGATTTCTGTTTATACTTCGGGTAAAGGCAGTTCTGCTGCTGGTTTAACAGCATCTGTCATGAGAGATCCTTCATCGGTAAATAATTTGACTCAATTCAATCCTGAATAGTTTTGTAATCGATTTTCTTTAAATTTCTCAGAGAAACTTCATAATGGAAGGAGGTGCGATGGTTCTAGCTGATGGCGGAGTTGTCTGCATCGATGAATTCGATAAAATGCGTGAAGATGATCGTGTTGCCATCCACGAAGCCATGGAACAACAAACAATCTCTATTGCCAAAGCCGGAATCACCACAACTTTAAACTCTCGTTGTTCTGTACTCGCTGCAGCTAACAGTATCTTCGGCCGTTGGGATGAAACCAAAGGCGAAGAAAACATTGATTTCCTCCCAACAATTCTCTCACGTTTTGATATGATTTTCATCGTCAAAGATGAACATGACGCTCAACGCGATAAAACCCTAGCTCGACACATTATGGGCGTACACATGAACTCAAACCAAGGCACAAACGAACCGAAAGAAGGCGAGTTGTCTATTGACCTCATCAAGAAATTCATCAACTACTGCCGTACACGTTGTGGACCTCGTCTCAACGCCGAAGCCGGCGATAAACTCAAACGCAAATACGTTATGATGCGTAACAAGACTTTACAACACGAACAAAAGAAACATTCTATTCCGATCACTGTAAGACAACTTGAGGCTGTCATACGTATAGCTGAGAGTCTTGCAAAGATGCAACTGTTACCTTTTGCTACCGAGACGCATATCGATGAAGCATTAAGATTGTTCCAAGTGTCTACTCTGGATGCAGCCATGAGTGGTAGTTTATCAGGCGTAGAAGGATTTACCACTGAAGAAGAACATGAAACACTCGCGAGGATTGAAAAGCAGTTGAAACAGCGCTTTGCAATGGGCACACAGATCTCACAACAGACTGTGCTGCAAGATTTCGCTAAACAACAGTATCCAGAGCGGGCTGTGCTTAAAGTTATTCATACTATGATCAGGCGAGGAGAACTCCAGCATCGCATGCAGCGCAAGATGTTGTACCGTCTTAGTTAGACCATTTTGAAACATTGTAATCTCTTGTAAGCCACTTTTTTTTTATTAATATATTCAACGATTTTTTGCATAATTCATAGGATGTGCGTTTTGTTTGCGAAAGGATACTCCGGATGAGTTTCTACGCCTTTGAAGAATCTGAAATCGAAAACTCTGCCTTTCTCACCTCGATCCAAAGCGTCTAGTTTCGCTAGGTGGTCATCTGAGAGTTCAAAATCCAAAATGTCGATGTTTTGCTTAATGCGTTTGGTATTCACTGATTTTGGTATCACCACAACGTCGCGTTGTATTAAATGTTTCAGAAGTACTTGCCCAGGCGTTTTATCCAAACTCTTGGCGATTTCTTCCACGACTGGATCGGTTAATAATTCAGGAATATCACGTCTGCAGCATGTAAACAAGGTTTTGTTAAAAAATAAGCTTTATAATAGAGTTAACTTACTTGTGATCGTATTTTTCCTGAAAATGGCTCTGCGCACAAGGACTACCCAATGGGGAATACGCCGTAACGGCCATATTTAACTCCCTGCATGCTTGTATCAACTCTGTTTGTTGATGATAAGCGTGTATCTCGACTTGTAACATTGTGGGTTTGATTTTAGCCTCTGAGTATAATTTACGAATCTGATTAATGTTGAAGTTGGACAAACCGATTGTTTTCGCCCGTCCACGACGCACCTCAGCCTCCATGGCCTGCGACAAACATGTTTAGCACAAAGTAAACTTACAGCATGATTTTTATGAGTTTACTCGCCAGGTGTCGAGGGGATTACTATCCATATCCAACCGCATGGACCCATCGTCGTTTTTCGCTGGTTGCATTGAATCCGCTTCACAAGCAAACGCAAATGGCATATGAATCAGGTAGAGATCCACGTAGTCCATTTTTAATTTCGCTAGTGACATTGTAAGAAAACGCTCGACATCGCTGGCACGATTCCCAAACACGGGCAACTGAAATCGATTGATTATTGCATGAAAAACTGTAAAATATTGCTTTGTTTACTTTTGTTGTGATGAATAATTCAGAGCGTTTGATTTTTCCTTGTAGAATCAAACGTTCCAATGCATTGCCCAGGGATTCTTCGGTGTTGTAGTTAAATGCAGTGTCTAAAATTTAAATGTTTTAGAATTTTAAACTGTGGAGTTTGTATATTACCGAAATGACGGTATCCAGCTGCAATGGCGGTCTCGATGGCGGTTTGCATCTCATCCGGATGTGCTTTCCATGTGCCCAAGCCAATAATCGGCACGGAAATCTCGGGGGACAGCTGGACATGTTGCATTTTATGTAATCTTGCACTTGCACTTGCGAAGAGCGCTCGCGTAAAATTAGACAACGCGTGGACCGATTTGCGCGTTATATACCCGCCGGTTATTAATAAAGTTAGGCGCGCAATGATTGCGGCTCACAATTAATAATTTTGACAAGTTTAAACAATCAAGTGAGAATGAAAAGTATCAAATCACTTAATTCTGTCAAAATATAAGCTCAATATTAGCTGCAGAGTTATATAAATGATTCTGGATTGATTATTTCTAAATTAATCGTTTTTTTGACGAAATTTATTAGTCGCCATTTTGTCATAATCATATTCCAACATTTTCCTGAATAATTAATGCTTTTGATCAAATATTTGCATAGCTAAAAGTAAGAAAAATTGAGAATATGATAATTAATGTAGCACGTTGTGTTTTCGTGTAATTATTATTAATTAATATTAATTATGTATGTACTACTTCGGCAAAAGTCGACCTTTCAGTTCACTAACACAATAAACTTACTACTTTTATGCCCAAGGGTAAAATCTATCAACAAAATACAAAGTAAAGGAAAAACAACCAAACAAAAGCTTGGATGTAGGTTTTTTTCATGTATTGACTCGAAAATTACAGTTTTCTTTCCTTTTGAATGCTATTTCTACTATATTCTTGCTTGTTTACCATCCATAAACAAAAACTACGCAAACTTCAATAGATTTAACTATATTTACTCAGTTTTCATGATTAAAAAATGTAAAATTTGATTTTTGTGTACTGGAAGTCTCAAACGCCATTTTGTTTTCAGATTTAAGTGTCAATTTTCAACTTTTTTCTCAAAATTTCTTAAAAAATATAAAATTATGCCTAAAAACCCGACAATTTTCTTATAATAATTGGATATACTTTGTTAATTCATAAGAGGTTTGATAAAATGTGAGATTTTCCCAGACCTGAAGTTTTATTATCATTAACAACTAGCATATACATGAATGTATATCATTTTCATTACAAAAATCATCGTCGCACTCGAAATCGTCCTCGTTTCACTTATACATTATGACCACATGTCTCATGGTTCATCCTTAAATAGTACTTAAAGTAGATTCGGGGGGAGGAGTGGGATGCAAGTGTGATCACCAAACAAATCGGCGATCGGCATTACCCCAAGAATTTAGTACATATGTGGTTTGGGGGCGGGCGTGAACAACCGTTTAACACGTTCATCGAAAAGGAAGGGACATGGTACACTGACACACACACATATCATCGCGACCATCTGCATTCGTTTTCATGCTCGTTACTAATTAATTTAAATCGTTAAGTCATTAGCTGAAAATTCGTTATTATTGTGTCTTCACTTCGACTCACGTTTGTTCTTCACATCGGGTGTGGGGGCAGAGAAATGGGAACGCCGCTCTTTTTTAAGTTACAATTTCTGTTTTCGCTTAGCATTAGTATTTCTGCTTTAACTTTTATAGACTAAATTACTTAATATACATATCGTCTACGAGTTTAGAGTAATTTTTTTTACACTAGCGCGCACGCGGCGCTCCTCCCGAAATGCTCCCCATTGGCGTTGCAATAAAAAACGTAAAAAACTAAACTATCAACTACGAATCGTGTCCATCTCGACGCCGGGATACATTCGAATGGGAAGAGGAGCGTCGTGTGCGTTTGTTTTGTTGTTTGCCGAAACTCACGCAGTTCCGCAGCACTCGATACATTTTCGCGCCTGTTTCTGTTTTCAGAATTCTTAATTTCTAATCGCCTTAAGAATTACCAACTCGCACATCTCACGCTCTCAGTCCGCCTGCGCTGCTCTCGTTCGTTGACTGGTGATCAAACCAATATAATACAAACTTAAATATTACTGGTTGTATCACAATGTATAGCTTGTTCCTAACTAATTTTACATTAAAAAAAAATGAAACAACTATTCAATATACGTTTTTATAATATAAAATAGATATTTACAATTTTCCTGCGCGCGCGCTGCACTTGCAAAGTGCGTGTGAGTGTGTGTGTGTTGAGAGTGAAAATGTCAAAGAATTTATTTCGGCGGCGTTTTCAGTGTGTGTGTGTGTGTGTGTGTGTTTCAGCGCTCTCATTAATCAAAGAGAGAAGAACAAACTATACTAGAGTTCAAAGAGTTGACAAAATGCGTGCGAAACAAAATAAACGCATTAATTGCAAACAAATATTCATTTGCATCGTCGAAGTATTCGTGGGGTTTATCGATATTTTAGGTTTATAACAATAAATATGATATATTGTTGATTATCCCCAGTTTCGATCCTCGTTTACGTTCCACACTGAAACCATGGGCAAGAAGTTTAAAGCGAGAAACGTACACGAACGTGATTTACAGTGAATTTCAAAATTTATAGCCTTCAATGGTTTTGCATTCGAAAATTAAGTCATATTGTTATGTTGCGCGCGCAAATGCACAAGAAAACGGCGAGATTTCCGGATACATTCTCGCGCGAAACAAGATAACTCATCCCATTTATATTGATAATTATATATTGCTAATTTATAAACCAGCTATCGAATCAAACGTATGCAACAGACAAAACACCGATGAGTGTGTGTTTGATAGTTACTCAAGTTGTTAATGCGCTCACTGTGAGGGGTACTTCTGCATGGGCGCATACAATACTTGGGTGTTGGGCTGTTGCGCGCCCTGTCCGGCCCATTGGCCCTGCGGCACCACACAATATTGTCCTGGATAGTTCGGGTACTGATAGTAGCCCTGCATGTAGCCGCCTTGCGCGGCAGCATACCCCTGCGGATACCAGTACTGACCATAACCGTACGGGTATTGTTGACCTTGAGCGGGTGTGATGCTAGGCGCTGCTGCACCTGCGGCGCCATCCCCGGCAGGACCGCCGTTTTCCTTGCCCCAGAAGCATTTGACTACCTGGCCGTTGATCTCGCTGTTGTGTATCGCTTCAATGGCGTGCGTCGCTGACTCCTTGCTGGAGAAGCGGATGAATGCGTATCCTTTGTCTTTGAAGACACGGATGTCCTGAATCACGCCGAATTGGGCGAAGGTTTGCTGCATGAGGTCCTCGCTGATGCCGTTCGTGAAGCCGCCGCAGTAGACGGTGCTGTTGGTCGGCGAGGTCTGATTGTATACCTCCTCGTAGGTGGGCTGCTTGCTGCGTTGTTGTGGCTTGTCGGCGCGCGGTGGCGGCGGCTTGCGCGTTGACCAGTTGGTGCGAATTGAGCGCGATCCCAGCCACTGGCCGTTCATCGCTTGAATGGCCGTCTCCGCTTCGGCTTTCTTCACGAACGAGACGAATGCGTACCCCTTGGACTTGAGCGTCTGCGGGTCGCGTACTATCCGGCAGTTGGAGATCTCCCCGAAGGGAGCGAAGGCCTCGCGGAGCGTGTCAGTCTCGATCTCGGGCGACAGGTCGCCGACGAAGATGTGATGGTGGTTGGACGTGTCCGTCTTCGGCTGGTTGCCCGGGCTGGTCGCCCAGTTTACCTTCATTTCTTTGTCGAGAAAGACGCGTTTGTTCATCGCCGCCAGTGCGGTGGATGCCGACTGGTGGTTGGCGAACTCGACGAATGCGTAGGGATCATTGCCCGGCTCGCGGATGATCTTGCAGCCCTTGACTGGACCGATTTGCGCGAACAGCGTGCAGAGCAGATCCTCGGACACGGTGCCGTCGAGGTTGCCCACGTACAGTGTTTTTGGGAAGCTCTCTTCCGACATGATGACGCCGGCCGTTTACTAGTCGTCACCCGCACACCCACTTACCGCGCCGCCGACCGCTCACAAATGCATGTATTGCGTCGAACCGCGGGGAGAGCGCTTCTGGCGGCCTTAATTTGCCACGGACGGCAGCACCAGGGCAGAAACGCGGCGGATGGCTGACTTTCTCTTCGTGTTATTCTGCCGCGACTGGCTGTCAAACGAAACAAAATGGCTGGCCGGTGGCGGCCGACTGGCCAAAACCGAGCGTCTATTAGCGCGGACTGCCGATCTGTGGATCGCCCGCACTCTGGAACGCGCACTACGCTAATTGACGATTTTCCCAGGCGGCTAATCACTTTTCTTTGTCGACTTTATCGATTCGCTGTGATCGAAAACAAGCTTTTCGTTGTGAGAGCGAAGTTAGCAACAAGTCGTTGACGCTCCGCCCACAAAACTTCACAAAACCACAATCGCAATAAATGACAGCTATTCGGCCAATTCGGGTATCGTCGGATCCGGATTCTTTCAGAAAATTTCCAATTTCAATTATATTCCTTACGTGATAATTAAAAACTTACATAAAATTGATTCACTTATTATATGCTTTTAAATTAACAATGTAATAATTATGCTGACTTTAATAAGTTCAACATTGAATTCAAACAGTTTTTTGACACTGTTCCCAACCTTGCCAAATTTGCAAATATGCAGCCAACTAAACAAAAATTATATAACAAACAAAAACAAAGAAATTCAAATTTTAGAAACAATTTATTATTACCTTTAATAAATAGTTTAATCCTATAATAAAGTCTAAATTATTGAATTTAAATTGGATTGGTTGCATTTGTCTCAATTTTTTACTCTTTCAATGCCAAACATGCCGGGTGCAGATGTTGTGTTTGTTTTGACATTTCGTATGTATTTACCATAACCTCCACTGATAACATTTTTCGAAATGTTTATTGCTGAATAAACAAAACAATAGCAAGCAATGTCCAGCGAAGACATCCAGGAACAACAAGATAACGAATTTGAGGCTTTGAAGGTAGTTAGCATTTATTAACTAAAACCGATTGAATTTTCTTGATTTTTACAACATTAAAACAATGTTTACCGGTTTTCAGGCGATATATGTCGATGATGTGCGCGATTTGCGTAATTCTGCTTGGAACATATGGCATCCACTGAAGTTTTCTCTAACTTTAACTCCACAACAAGGAAGCACAGATGAAGCAAATGCCAGAGTTGATCTGCTGGTGACCTGCTCTGATCGATATCCTTTTGAGTAATAAACTTCATCTAATCATTATCATTTGTATATAACTTTATGTATCATTTGGTTTTGGGATTAATAATTAAACTGCATATATTCTGGTTGTTGTTCATTTGTTTTTAATTGTGCTGTGCTATTTGTTTTGCTTTCATCTTATGATTTAACAAATATAATAAAAGCTTACATTTTAACATTCATTCTTTGCTTTATTGTCTGGAATGAGTTCAAACTATGATATCATACTTATAGGGTGCCACAACTAGGCATATGCAATGAAAAGGGCATTTCAAAGGAAGAAGCTCAACTGTTGCTCAAGGGATTGCAAAAAGAAGCTCAAAAACATGTGGGGAATGCCATGGTTTTTGACCTGTCAATGTATGTACAAGAATTTTTATTTGAACATCGAAAACCATCAGAAACAAGCTTTTATGAGCAGATGATTCAGAGACAACAGCAACAACAACTTAAAGAGCAAGCAAAGTTGGATCAAGAGGCAAGTAAATGTTTATTCTTCTTCAGAAAAATGCAATTTAAATCAGTTAAATGATTTTATCCGCAAAATTTCTCACCACACTTGTTAGTATATAAAATTAACTTTCGATATTGTCACTTTTAGAAAGAAATACTTGCAAAAGAAGTAAAAGAACGCCAGGAACTGCACAAACAAGCCAACAAACGATATCGAGAAGAACGTCGCTTGTCAGAACAATCATCAAGCAGTGGCGCAATGAGAACATCGATTAATGAGAGCTCAAATGAATCTTCAGGTGGTGAAGGCATCACCGAAGTTCAATGCGAGCATGAAATGAAAGAGATTCACTTTTCGAACGTATCAGTTACAACAGGACAATGTGTAGAGCATGTGTCCGAAAATTGCATTTTATTCTCTTCTGTTGATTCAACAAATGGACAAATGTACTTTTTATCAGAGTGGATGATTGGAAATGATGATAAGATGATTGCTTCAGATCAAGTTTCGAAACAAATTGGTTGTATTGAACAAGAATTGAAAAGTCTTCTAAAATTAAAACATCCTAATCTTATAAATTACATTAATATGGAACACTCGATTCTACAAGATGGCAAAATAGTTGTCAACTTGTTAACAGAGTTTATTTTAGGTAAATATTTATTACTTCAATGTAATCCTCAGAATGTTAATGAGTTTTGTTCTTCTAGGTTTAAATTGTAATGTTTTATACCTCTTGAAACAAATTCCTATTGAGATTGAAATGCTGCGAATGATTGTTGAGAATGTCCTGAGTGCCTTGGACTTTCTACATAGAAATAATACTGTTCATAAGAATTTGTGTGCGTCGTGCGTTTATATTTCTAATCGAGGTACGTATTAAATTGGAGTTTGTGTTGTTTCAGAAATCATTATTTGTTTTCAGGGCATATTAAGTTAGCTAATTATAGTATTTATCAAAGACTGACTGATCTAGCGTCACAGAGTACAAATTCGAATAATTACAGTAAGAAAAATGATGTTTATGACTTCGGTGTCACGATTTTATCACTTGTCAAAGGATGCCAAGTGGATGAAGAAGAAGATAATATAATTCCTTATGATTTAAGCATGGATTTAAGAGATTTTATTGAAAAGTTAGTATAATATTCATCACTGTACTGTAAAATAGCACTTTTACTAACATCTTTTCGTACAGGTGCATTTTAAAAGATGAAAATCGTTCCACTACCACCGAATTGCTAGAGCATTCATTCCTGAAAACTCCAACAGAGAAAAAATCACCTATCAAAAACCACTGCTAATGGTGGATGATAATAACTCATCAGAAATGCATGTGGATGATATAAAGTTTTTAGCCCAACCTAATTTGAATGGTAAATCGCGTGTGGAAACCGAATTCGAAAATTTAGATTATATTGGTCAGGGTGCTTTCGGACAAGTTTACAAAGTGCGCAATAAACTGGATCAACGTGTGTACGCTTTGAAAAATATTGAATTAAACTCCAAAAACAAACTTATCAATAAAAAAATTATAAGAGAAGTTAAATTGCTGTCCAGCTTGAATCATGAGAACGTGGTGAGATATTACAACTCATGGATAGAGAGTGCAACTGTGTCACCTCAGGAGGATGAATCAGAAGAAGATTATTCAGATAATCATAAAAACCTCGAGATAAATTCATGGAGAAATTGGTACCGAATGCAAAGGCACTTGCGTGGTCCATTAGTTACGGAGGAAAGTCTAGCAAAAATCAAGAGGTGCTTGATGATTCTGATTCTAGTTCAGATGACTTGTTTATGGAGTCGAGTGAAGCAGATTCCTTGGTGGAGTTTGAGAATGATGAAAATGGAAAAAGTGCAAATGCTGGCGATGACACTGAAGATGAGGGTATAGATGAGAAGAATAACACGAGACAAATACAGTTTATGTATATTCAAATGGAGTTTTGTGATAAGAGCACTTTACGCACAGCAATCGATAATGAACTTTACAAAGAAAAAGACAGATTATGGAGGTTGTTCAGGGAGATTATTGAGGGTATGGCCCACATTCATCAACAAGGAATGATCCACAGGGATTTGAAACCTGTGAATATTTTCCTGGATGCAAAGGACCACGTCAAAATCGGAGATTTTGGTCTTGCCACTTCGAATCTCCTAATAAAAAATGAACCTGTCATTGGATTGGACACACAAGTCGGTAGGTATTTCATAGCTGTGAAGTTAGGTTAGATTTTCAATTTTGGTTATGCATTTATCTAGATAAATCTGGAGGTCTTGGTGATCCCAGCCTGACTGGTCAAATTGGAACAGCGCTCTACGTTGCTCCTGAATTAACTTCCACAGCAAAAGCAAGTTACAATCAGAAAGTTGATATCTACAGCCTAGGCATCATCTTCTTTGAAATGTCCTATTACCCATGCGCAACACAGAACGAACGTATACAGATCCTCACCAAACTACGCACGGATAAAATCATATTCCCTGACGATTTCGACAAAAATGCAACTCCAGTTCAGAAACGCATCATAAAATGGTTGCTTGACCACAAACCTGTAAATCGTCCCACTTCCCTGGAACTCCTGCAGTCCGATCACATGCCCCCACCTGTTTTAGAAGAAAGAGAACTTAGGGATTTACTTAGACACACTTTGAAAAATTCACAACTAAAAGCGTATAAATATCTAGTCGAATCCTGTTTAAATCAACCCGTTACGACCGTGCAGGATATTTCATATGATAAGGACATGGGTCCACCTTATACAATGAAGAATCTTCAAGTGTTCAATCATGTTAAGGGTTTAATGGCGAAGACTTTTGAGTTGCATGGCGCGCAGGAACTGAATACGCCATTGTTAATGCCGAGGAATTCATGTTACGATGGTATGGAGAATGTCAGGCTGATGACACATTCTGGAAGTGTCGTCACTATTCCATATGATCTCAGGTAGGAATATTACTATTTATTAGTTAGTAGTATAAAAATGAGGTTATGTTTACTTCCAGGATACCATTCGCTCGATATGTGGCATGGAATGGTATCACTTCCCTGCGGAGATATTCAATTTCCAGGGTTTATCGAGAAAAGCGCGCGTTTGGATTCATTCCACGAGAGTTGTACGAATGTGCATTTGATATCGTCACTCCTACACCTGGTACTATAACTTTAAACAAAACCTTTGAGTCTGTGTGGGTATGAGTGTGTTTATATATTCTTTTGTTTTCGTTTGATTGCAGGCAATTTAATGGCGGACGCTGAAGTGATTTACCTTCTGGATGAGTTGGCTGCGAACGTGCCGGGTCTGCGCGACCGGAATTGCTTGATACGCCTCAATCACATGTCGCTGCTCAAAGCGATCCTGCTTTATTGCGGAATTAAGGACCGGCATTCGGAGTTTTACGGCATATTGGCCGACGCCAAGGTTTGTATCTTGCTTTTAATTAAACGTTTATGATACCTTTGATGCAGCTGTAGCTGCAGCTGGTACTAGCGCCGCCATTTTGTCAATTATTCGTTTTCTGCATTGGTTTTAATGATTCTGATTGGTTTGATTTTGTTGAAAGGAGGGCAAAGTGACTAGAATGCAAGTACGCACGCACCTGAACAGCAGCAGTGTCTCGCTTCGTAATATTGCGACGCTCTTTGAGTTCTTCTTTTCTTCCAATACGGAGGCGCCGATTGCCCAAATTCGCAACCTACTGCAGACGATTATCAAGCGACGCAACACCGAACCGGCGATTCTCGCACGTCAGGCCCTTCAAGACTTACAGACGATTATTGATCATGCAACGAATCTCGGAGTTACAGTAATATTCTTCAAATGTTTTATGTTATCTAATTTTACGGGAATTTACTTTCTAGAGTTTAATAAAAATCAACCTGGGATTGATATATAACGTCCCTCAATATTCAGGAATGATTTGCCAATTAGCTTGTTCATCTTTCAAGAAACGAAAACAAACAATGGAGGTGCTTGCCGTCGGTGGACGCTACGATGAAACAATCAACAATTACAAATCACTTATTCCTGCTAATAATGATTGCCTACAGTCAGCTGTCGGAGTTTCATTTTCTTTGGATCGTTTGGTCGCCATCTTTACGCATCATCTACAAATTGAAGATGGCGTTCACTGCCCGGATCTAGAAGTGACGCATTTGGATGTGGTTGTTGGCAACATTGATAAAATATCCAGTCTGAAACAAGTTGCTAAGATAATAAGAGATTTACGTAATGCTGGGATTAAAGTGACTTTTGTCGATGGCACCACGCAGAAAGAAATTACAGAACAAGGAGGAGAGTTTAACGTACCATATGTGATTATTTATAAGGATGGACAAGCAAGGATACATCATTGTAAAAATCCTGAAAAGTATGAGTTTATATAACATGATTTTTCATGGATTTATTTTTTGTTTTATTGATGTTTAGGTGGGAAGAATATTCATTGAACGTATTGGTCGAGAATATCCGTGGATTAAAGATGAATAAAACCTTTGCTGACGCTGGAATGGAAACGTCTGCAACCACTATATCCAGGAGTGAATCAACGCACAGAGCTGCGCATGTGCCAAACTGTAAAGCTAATGTTAATACTGTGTATTTAATACATGGCGAACGCGAAAAAATGTCAACCAATCAGAAAAAGCGCTATGAACAACTTGTAAGTTTCAATATTAGTGTTTTTATTTTTAAATTTATAATTATTTATTTATTAGATTGATGTTAAAATTACTGATGCTCTCAACAAGCTTAATGGCGACGTAACCTTGTTTGCGATGAACGTAGATGGCGCTATGATATGCGCAATGGCGTCTTGCTTCAATTTTGAGTCAAAAGACGATTTCTACAAGTCTTTAGACACATTGAAAGAAAAGTAAGCTTTAAATTTACATTTTTAATAGTTTTATAACATATTTGTGTGTTATTTAGATATCCGAAACATAAAAAGTACCTTGATGACATGCGTGAGAAAATCTACGCGCACAAAAGCAACTCGATTATTCTTTTCAGCCTGTTGGATAACACGTACCGCGTATTTTTGTAAATTTTGATGAATCAATAAATATTTATGAATTTAACGAAATCCATACCTGAGCGTGCTTGGTAATGTGTTTTGATGGTCATTATCTACCTCAAACCAGTCCGTCAAAACAAATATTACTTCAAATCCAAACATCAAGTGGATGGATAGCTGATGAGTCGATGAGAGATTTCGCATTTGCATTTGCATGTTGCTCAGGTGCTTGAGCTTCCATTTCGTACAGTTCACAATGGAATTTTACGCAATTCCAACATCCACGATTGACTCCTTCAGATAACTTTTGCATTAAAAGTTTACATTTTATTATTGAGGTTATGTGTACTCAGACGTTTAATGGCCGAATTAAATTGAGTTGAGGTGAATTTCGGCCGTGATTGCTTTTATTGGCAACTTGCTGTAGAGAGTTGATTTATTCTCTTGGGAGGCCAATAATTCACGAAATCAATTTCGAGCTAGTATTTACTTTTAATTATGTACTTAGCGGTTGCCTCGCGCTGCCATTTTGTGCTCCTTTCACGAGAGGGACATCAATCTAAATCTTGATTTGCATTTTATTTATTACGTCAATAAAACACCAAAAAATGAAGTAAAAGTAAATAAAAATCCCTACTAATATTATAAATGCGAAAGTCCTGATGTTTGTTACACTTTCACGCAAAAACTACTTAACCGATCATCATGAAAATTTGTACGCATATTCTTAGTGGTCCCCGAATGGTTATAGGCTACTTTTTATTTTAAAAAAAAATTATGTTTTAAATAACATAAAGAAATTGTTTAGCCAATAATACCTCTGCATCTGGTTATTTGACTACTCTAACGCCATCTAGCATTCCAGCAATGAAGCTCAAACCTAAGTACTATAGTACCATCACACTGTATTATCACACTGTATTACCGACAGCTACGTCAACATCAAATCCAATTGACTACACTATGGAGACTGTACACTATACTTCCATAGACTATACTTTCATCCATTTTAAACTTCCCGCCATTCTACTTTATTGTTACTTCTTCTGTGATTACAGACGCGTACGGTAGCAACTTCATTATTTTAGATATTCGCGAGCGAAGCCGCGGGTTAAAGCTAGTATAATATACTTCCACCTATAAAGCACCAGTATTTCCACGGTGGCCGTGAGTCAAAACAGGCGTGGCTAAACGTGGCTAATCGTTATTAAACACTCAATCAATCTCGTGAGTAAAGTCCCGTTTAGCCACTTTGGTATCAAGTGGCAACTTTTAATATACAGTAGAGTCCGGTTATAATGACATCGAAGGGAATTGACAAACACGTCATAATAAGCGGACGTCATACAAAGCGTTTTGAGAAATGAAAACCCTTTTTTATGTAAATATGTACATATACATACATATTAAATCAAAATCAAAATTGCACGTAATCAGCACATTATAACACATACAAGTGTATTTTTACTGCAAGTAATCTGTAATTTTTGTCTGCTTTTGTTTTTTCATTTAATTAATTTTCTTGTGATTTTCGAAGCCTCTTTGGTTTCAAAACATTTGAATTGAACGATTGCTTAATGCGGTTCTTGTTTTTTAAAAAGCATTGAGATTGTCGAATGACCCACGCCAAATTCGGATTAATGGAAAATACGGATTAAGTCGTGGTCAAGGTGCTGCTGCCCGAATGCTTATATTTATTATTTAAGCATTTGGTCTTTCCGATAGTAAATACATAAAAGTAATTTGACAATCATAAAAGAAATGTAGCAATAAATATAAAAAGTTCGCCACGTGTCGAACGTCGTCGGGTATCAACGAACATTACCGGAGGTGTAAAGAATCATGTTGGTCATTATAACCGGACATAATCTGTTAAAAATGGGTCATAATAAGCGACATGTCACTGTAAGCGAAGTCATTATATCCGATTTTTTTATACAGAATTTTATATGAAAACCAAACTTGGTAGTGTAGGTACGTCATAATAACCGGTTGGTCAATATAAGCGGAGTCATAATAAACGGATTCTACTGTACTATTAAATTATTTCAAAATTTATTGACATTAAAAGTTTATTACACCCTGTAGATATATTTATGATGTCAAAGAGTTTTATTTTGGTACCACTTGCATGATCAAAAAGCAAATAATTCGGATCTCGTGTTTTTGTCTTTAATATACGCGGTCTCATATTTCGATAAGAATTCGACTCTATTTTTGCTCGCGTGCACGTAACGTAATGCGATACGGGAAAGAAATCCCTTTGGCGTGATCGTGCGCCTTTTTTAAGGGCGGCCCGCGCCGTCGGCTTTTTATGAGGAGGGCGCGCTGAAAGTACTCGTTCTACACACACTCTTTTGGGGAGATAAGGAGACAGGGAGGCATTACCATACTCGCCAAACATTACGACTACTATTACGACTATGCTGCTTTTTTTTTAGGAACTGATTGATGGCTGGGCAAAACCGTCATTCGAGGAGCATCAAGTGTAGTTTATGTACTTGGATCAAACAAAAGTTATGGTTTTGAGGTTTTTATTTACTTGTCTATATTCAACATATTATTTTACATCAGAAATAAAAATTATGGAACAGATTTCTCAACCTTATTTTTTATTTGAATGAGTTTTAATTGGATATCGATCAGAAGCCAACTTTGTGACGTTGTAGATTGATAAGTATAAATTATTTTTCTTTTTTTCTTTTACTATCTTGAAGAACATGTATTTGAGACTATGTGTTCAAAATTTTAAACTTGTAGGACCGACTATTCAGAAGTTATTATTCAATTTCATTGCAATATCAACTTGCTGCATAGTGGATAAATGTGTTTTGAATATTTTTAAGTTGATAAATATTTTCAAAGGTTAGATGGCGCTACGATGTACGATTTTGTATTAAATATTGCTTGTTGGTGGTAGTGAGTGCACACCGTGTCCGTGTGGATCACGCGATTTCGCGCAAGTGATAAGTTTGTTTACCTGCAGGTATCGAACCTTTATTTCGTGGAATCAAAACACACCGTTGCTGTTTATTATATTAGCATCGTAAATTTAAGCAAATATTCTTCAATTCTTTTATGAATATAACTAACAATTTTATATTAATTCTAATAGTTTATTATAAAATCATCAAGAATGCAAAACATTTTTATTATCAGTAAATGATTAATTGGCAATTTTTTCTTATGAATTAAAATTTCATTTCCTAGATTTCCAATTTAACTATGTTATTTTTTTGCTCGCTTTTGATGATTATATTTCAAATTACAAGAATGCTTTTGGGCTTGAGTATGTATCTTTTATCTCACCATTTCGATATTCCGCACAGAATGTTTGTTTTTCTCCGATGTGTGAATATAATATTATTATATTGTATCGTAGAGTATAAATTAAAGCAATATTGCGATTTGATAAGCATTATTAAATTGCTTATGATTGGTATTTTCATGCAATATCAACTTTGTTGCATATTTAATAAAATGTGTTTTGAATTGAAACCTGCCGTTACTAGATAGTCGGTTAGATGGCACTACGATGCACGTTTTTGAGTTAAATATTGCTTGTTGGTGGTAGTGAGTGCACACCGTGTCCGTGTGCGATCACGCGATTTCGCACAAGAGATAAGTTTGTTTACCTGCAGATATCGAATCTTTATTTTTTAGAACAAAATCACATCTTGCAGTTTATATTGGCATCGTGAATTTAAGCAAGTATTCTTCAATTTTTAAATCATGAATATAACTAACAATTTTACATTAGGTGGAATAGTTTATTATAAAAATTATCATCAGCAAAACATTTGTATCATCTGCAGATTACTTAGGCAGATATCACTTAAATATTTGATGTAAAATCTAGCACTCTGTCAGCATAAGAAATCATAATTACGGAAATAGAATTTTATTTTTTCATTAATTTTTCATTTAATTTTGCGCGACTTATTATAGTAATGTTATTTACTATTTGCACGTTTATTATCCGGCCGATTTGTGATCGCGCGGATAGTGTACCTACATTGCAACTCACAACAGTTACGAGGTAAATCAAATAAATATCGCCCCCATATTGATTTATACATCACTAAAATAGCCCATCGTGCTAGTGTAAGTAACTTTTAACTAAATAGCACATATGGTTTTTGATGTAAAAACTTTTTTCGAATCGTTGTGATTTAAAAATTAATGAAACGACACTAAAAAGAAACAAACGTATTCGTTTGTATGGTTTATATGGTCGCGAATATCGGCAGAAAAATATTAAATAGCTACAGATACAATTTTTGTCTGATTCTCTCACATTGCAGTGGTGTGAACTGCACACATGATTTTTTTTCATTGTTTTGTACTTGTTTGTACTTTTGAAGAAATCATTTGTAGAATGCTCTAATGAAATTTTGTTTACGACATTTTCGAATGGTCACTTTTCATCAGTTTCATCTTCGATTACCAGTTAACAACTAAATTGGATTGGCAAAAATGTGTATATGGCAAGGATGCGCGTCTATCCATCATAACTGATGATGATAAAGCACAGAGACTCGCTGACCAGCGCACAATTCAATATTTTAAACTTTCGAAACATTACCCAACTTTCATAATTCTATAATAAATGTTTCTACAAACTTGTAATTTAGTTTTTCCCTGAGCATGATGCATTAAAAGCAATTTTGAATGTGATTTTCCAGGTTTTTTAAATTTTCTTTATAAAAATTTAAAATAAAACCTGAAATTTCACAAATAAAATGAAAATGAGCAACGTAGCAGATTTCATAAGTTTGCAGAATAAAATTTACACTCTGATTGTTTTAGCGAAACAAAATTTCGTCTATCCACATCTCATATTTTCTACTTCCATGAATAAATCCTCAATATAAATAATCTCTCCCAGCGCGAGTTCATCATTTCGATTCATTTCTGAAATCGCATTATCCCGCAGAATGGCGCACGCGGCCGGCGGAAGCAATGAATGCCGTTTCATTTCGACGTCGTCGGCGGTGGCAGCGAAGAGAAAAAGTGCGCGTGTGAAAGTTTATGCAATCATTCTAGTATTTATGCAATTCCTCGTTAAT